CAGGCCTTGAGTCCTTGAATCCTTGAATCCTTTTCAGCACAATTGGATAAATTGAACCTTTTTCTAACTAAAACAACAGAATTGAGATTTTTAACTTTTTCTCTGAGCCTGAAAAAACAACATCCACACGGTGCATTCATGTTTTTGCTCCGTATATTTTGGAATACTTACAGTTTTGTGGACCCAACGCAGCGAGCTGGACGTTGCAGAACAATAAATTTCACCACTCACATGTGCAGCCCTCCAGTGCAATCATGGAAAAAACACATCAATAATAAAAGCTGCAATCATAGCGAGTAAAACTACATCTCTCAGCTTACAGATTCCAGCCAAGCGCCGGCCGACTGTAGCTGCAGGTGGACAGAACCGGGCTTGTCCTTCACTTGAATGACGCCGGTCCAGCAGAGAGGCTTCAGAGCTCAGAGTCGAACGCTCGACTCGAGCCAACTGCTGCTTCAACATGAAATCAAGCCGCTCGGCAAGGCGCTGCAGCGGCCAGTCACACATACCGAAGACCACTGTGTCATTCACAATTTGAGAAACTGATTAATGGTCGTACGAGCGAGGAGTCATCTGGTGTGGAGCTGTTGTGGCAGAGAATAGGCTTGACTCGGGAAAAATGGTCGAGCATCTGGAAAACTGTGGGAAACAAGCAGCTCCAACGAGACTTCACAGAATGAAACTAGAGACGGATACCTTGTGTTGGAAATGTAAAACCGAGTAGGAGCTGCTCTGGATATGGGCGTGTGCTCCAGTAGCACCACGTTGGATGAAAGTTGGAGTTAAGTAGCCGGTACGGATCAGAAATCCCTCCGACCCCTGACCTGTGTCTCTTAGGGGTCATCATGGATTTATCACCGCGTCCAGAATCATCCTGAGACAATGGAAACCTGTTAACTGCCCCAGTTTGAGAGATTGAGACAGCATCTTATGAGTCCAAGCTCAACAGACTTAAAGGTAACAGAGATGATGGGACCAGTTCTTGAGGCCACTTTTGGACTGATGGAGATCAGAGAACTCCTTCGACTGCAGTGTCTCCACACTCTGAACAGGACGGGTTTCTAACTTCCTGTGTCGGTGCAAGTGAGGAGTTCATTTGGTAACTCCATCTTCACAAACCTTCAGGAAACCTTCACTTCTCCATCGTCTACCTGAGACAATATCAATCCAATTTATCTCTATTTTTGTTATTTCTACTGAGTCAAATCCACTCAGCTTCACTTTGATTGAGATCATCTCAAGCAAACAACAAAAAAGAACACGTTTTCTTTCAATCTGTTTTTCCAAACGAACTCTTCAAGTGTATTTTCTTTATTTTTTCCATGTATGTCATATGAAGGCAGCGCGAGGACTCAGGGGGATGAAACAGCTGTTATGTTCTGTTAGGTTTGTCTTAGTGGTTGTTTTCTGTTTTTGCTAAATGAAGCAAAAAAAAAAAAAAAGATTACTGCATCATAGCAACTGCATATTTCTGCTGATTACCTCTTAATCATCATTTTCAGATTAAAAACAGAGTCGAGATCGCTCTCCGGTAAGTAAATGGTGTCTGTGAATATGAACAAATCACTGGAATGTTTTTCTGTCTTCTGTTTTGCTTCCCTGCTTAAAGCAAAGCCCGTTCTGGAGAACTCACTCTCTGAATTTTCAGCAAAAAAAGCTTTGCAGCTCCACTTTACCCCGTTAACCATAGAGAGCAGCTGATGAACGTAGCACCGCTTGTTGCACCTGAAGTGTTTTAGTGCTTTAAGTGGTAAAAATCTATCAAGACTGTAGCTGCTTGCTCTACCCCCAAGTGGCTTTTAAAAAAACAACCTATGTCCAATTTATGCAAGTTGGATTCATTACCAGAGCATCGCTGTGATCCTGCAGCCAGTAGTCGGCTGCTGCTCGTTCATAATGTTGTCTGAAGCTGATCCTCGCACTGCAGACGACCACCAGGCCACAGCTAGTGCCACATGAGGTGATAAAAGTGTTTAAAGATCCGTTTTAACGGTTAAGAGAGCAAACGGTGAGTTAAGATATCGAAAACCTTTGAGTTTTTGTGACATTTCCAGAGGAATCACCTTTCATTTCCGTGCTAAATGTCAGCCAAAGTTAAGACTTCGACCCAGACGGAAGCCTTCTATGTTCACCGCCGTCCACACCTACAAAATAATGAACACAGTGTCGGCTCACAAACAGCGCCGAGGCTCCGCGAGCTGCTCCGGTCAGCCGTGTGTGAATCTCCACGTATGAAGACCGGGAATAGAGACTGGTCATTGTCAAAGCCGGGACAGCCACATGACAGCGGTTGAAGTCTGATGCATCACTGTCTCTCTGTCGCCCTACATCCTCCCCCGAACTAATGATGACCTTTGATTCCCAAAAGATGTCAGGAGATGAGAGAAAAACTGCAAACGCACCCAATTAATTTTGGGTGAAGAGGACTGGAACGTGTGAGTGCGTCAAGCAGCTGGAGTGAATTGTGAAGGGCTCCAGGAAAAGACAAAGCTCAGTATAATTAGGATTCAGGAGGCCCTTTGTCAAAGATAATTAAAGCTGACAGCCACTGTGGAGGAGAGAGGAAGAGAGCAGAAACCCCCTTCAAACTACAGTCTTCACTTTTAACACACTCTCTACGTCGTCTCTCCGTCACACACACACAAACCTGCACAACCATCCATCATCCAGGCTGCTCCCAAACTGCACGCTAGGCAATAAAAAGATGACAGATTAACGGAGACGACAACAAAAATACTTATCTACACGTGCATCCCATAGAGCCGGAAACAACTGAGCAGCATCGTTAGCGTGTGCAGTTACTCGTTACCGCCTGATTATCTGTTTAATCCCAACATAACGACCTCTAATCGGACTGAATGATGCACATTTTGTAGCTCACACGTGGATCTGTTTGATGGAAGCAGCCTGACACACTGAACTCATTTTAAAGCTGTAATAATTTATATTAGCGATAAATGACAACGTGAAGAAGCAGCTTCCAGTAAAATGATTTAATGATTATCAGTCAGCGCTGAGCTCTGTGGATTTTTACCTTAAATGCAGCAGCTGAAGATCCAAATATTTTACTTGACAGTCAATGAAAGTCATTAGGAGGCCTGAAGAATGATCAGTGTAAGTGTAAGTGTTCAGTGAGTAGGACCACGAGGCTGGTTTCTCATGACAGCGCCACCTACTGAACTGGATCACGAAGGGAGAAGGACATACTGCATTTCAACAGTTGCTCTGAAACTACTAGCTTGCCAAGGGAGGTGGAAGATCTTCTGGAAATATGACTGAGACTTGTTTCTTCATCAGTCCACAGGTTCTTGATGGAGTTTCAGTCCGGACTTTGGGGAGACCGGTCTACAACCTTAACTCTAGCCTGATTGAGTGGTTTCTTTACTATTTGTTTTGTTGGAACATCCCGCTGTGTCCAACCTTCTGGCTGATGATGTTCTTGAGGAATGTTCTTCATTGTTCCATTTAGTTTGTGTAAAGCTCCAGTTTCGATCTCCAACTCCAGTCCTCTGAGTCAGGTGTGTTGCAGTACGGAAACATCTAAAACCTGCAGGACAGTAGTTCATGAGGACCAGAGTTGGAGATCCCTGCACTAGTAGCAGAACAGAACCAGAGCATGATGCTGCCACGTCCATGCTTGATGGTAGGTTTGGTGTTCTTGGGGTTAAAGGCCTCACCTTCTCTCCTCCAGACATGGTTCTGCTCAGTGTTTGTTCCATCTGACCAGAACTTTCCTCCAGAAGGCCTTTTCTTTGTCCATGTGACCAGCAGCAGACTTCAGTGGAGCTTTAAGGTTCTGCTTCTAGAGGAAGAACTTCCTTCTCCATCAGCCTCTCAGCTCATGTTGATGTCAGACCCTGTGGACACTGACAGCTGTGTTCCAGCAGCTTCTGGTCCATCCAGAGCTGCTTTCTGCTGGTTCCTGGTTGACTCTTGACCACCTGCAGCAGGTGATGGTTTGTGTGTTTTCTCCCTGATCGTGGCAGCGACACATGAATTTTATTCTTTATTTTCAAAATAACTTTCCTGACTTCTTCAAGTTTGCTTTATCAGATCCGTGCTGAGCTCCCCAGACTTTCCCAGTCTAACCGTACCTTTAAAACCTTTACCCGTTAGTCAGACAGTCCAGTTTGGGTGGAATAAATCTTTAAAACCACAACTCAGACATGGTCCTAGAGGAGCGGTGCTACAGCGATCACAGACACATTACATTGTCAACGCTATAAGGTGATAATATGCTGATCCATAGTTTTTTAGCTTGTTCAGTTTCTCCATGTGGTTTAAGCCAAACACACCATTAACGCTTTTAGAACGATGACATCATCAGTCGGTGACCTGCAGTGACAATGAATTAGCATTTTTTAGCTTTACTCGTGTAATGAAACCACTCAATCTGCTCAGATAACCTGGTAAATAGCAGAATCCTGTTCAGTGGAGTGCCTCTCTAATGTCAGCTATTCAAATCAAAAGTTAAAGCTTCAGCTACACACGAGCTACATCACAAACATCGCTGTGTGTTTGGTTAAACAAGGTTGTGTTTCTTTGCTTGAAATCAGGTTTTCAAATGAAAGAGGAGAGCTGTGTTGTCTTCCAACATTATCCAGTGTTATTTTAATGCAGCCCTCCTGTTGTCTTAAACCACATCTGGTGCAGCGTTCTCCTCTGGCCTTTAGTCGCTTTAATGAACACAGAGGCGAGGATGACGGTCTCGGTGTAGGCTTCACTTCAGGATGAAAACCGAGGTTCAAAAGGGTATTTGTTTTAGACGATTTGTTTGCAAGCATGAAACAAACTGATTTCCATGGAAGAGAAATTAAGCAGGAGCTCCGTTTGTTGTGTCTTGTGACATGAAACACCTTCGATCGACGGTGTAGAGAAGGCCCAGGCTGCTGTAAGAGCACTGGAACGGATGTTAAAGGTCAGAGAAAAAGAAAATGATTTCTCTTATTATAAAGTTCAAAAGGATGTGAAAACGCTCTCCAAAATAATGAGATGAAACATAGACTGTTACATTTATTTTGACTCTACAAAATTATCTCCTAGTGAATCATCATGCAAATGGGTCTCTTTCAGCATATCCTCCTGTCAAGTACAGCCTGCAGGAATGGAATATTTTCACCGGTTATACACGTACTCAGGGTTTATAAGCAGCATCCTTTTTTCTTCAGTTGTACCTTCGTTTCAAGCTTAATATTCTCAGAACTCAGCTATCTGGTAAACTCAGGAATTCACAGACCTACAGTATATACATCCCTTAAAAATTAAACAACACAGACAACAGACGAAGCCTTTTTTTTTTTTCTTTTTTTTCTTTTTTGCACGGAAACTGACGCAGGTGTCTGACTCAACTTCTTCCAGTTTGGTTTTGTTTTCCGACACAAACCAGGAGTGAGGTCCCCGAATGTCCAAATGTGATAAAAAGGCCGAAGGGCGTCATCACAGAGACGACCAGAGCCACCGCAGAGAAGGCACTTATCAGTGACAGATGAATTCTCATTGGCTTATACTTTTTGTTGTTGTTGGCGAGCACCTCCTTTCGTGAATGGAGGGGAAACGGCGGTGAGTGGGAACATTTAGGAGTACTGCTGCGTGAACTTCTGGTGGAACTCCTTGACTTTGTCCAGCAGGATCTTCAGCTTGTCTGTCGGTGGCAGGATGGTCATTCTAGAGACGTGGTGGGAGGAAAAGGAAAGACAAACATTAACTTCAACAGACGTCTTTGTTTAAAGATTAATACAGATTTCGGAGCAAACTGTATTCCAAGCAGTCAGCTGAGGCACAGCTGGCTGAAACTGGAGCGACCTAGTGTAACAGTAATGCAGTGAAGTCAATATTTAACGGGTGACATAGTTCAGTTTGAGTTGAGACTCTTTTAGAAAAGTGGAGCTGATTCAAAAAGGCGTCTTTCCCCCTTTCAGTGCATCTTGGTGGAGAAAGTGGACAATACTCGGGACAAATACGACACTAAACTGATTCAAATTCTCTGATATTTAGCAGGAAAGACAATTCTCAGATTCTGGATATCAAAGGACAGCCCTGCTGTGGAGGACTGGTATCAGGAGGTCCTGAGGACACTCCCTCTGGAAAAGCTGACCGACACCCTTCACGACAACACCGGAGGATTTCTGAAGATATGTGACCCGTTCTAGTCTGGACTCTATTGGGTCAACGCTGTTCCAGTCAGTTTGAGAAACAACAACAACACCCAGGTGGTGCAGAGGATATGTGTTGTGTGTGTTTTTGCTGATGTTTTTAACTTCTATCCATCATCTCTACACCTTAATCCTCACTATGGTCATGGAGGGCTGGAGTCTATCCCAGCTGACTCAGGGTGAAGGCAGGTTCACCTGGACAGGTAACCAGTCTATCACAGGGCTACACTTAGAGACAGACAACCAAGCACACTCACATTCACACCTACGGACAATTTACAATCACCAATTAACCTCAGCATGTTTCTGGACTGTGGGAGGAAGCCGGAGAACCCGGAGAGAACCCACGCTGCACGGGGAGAACATGGAGACTCCACGCAGGAAGATCCCGGGTGTCCTCACCAGGATGAGAACCGACGACCTTCTAACTGTGAGGCGACCTTGCAGCCTTGTTTTTAACTCATTTATCTTTATGTTTATTTTCTCTGCTTGCTTGCTTGTTTGTTTGTTTGCTTTCTGATACCTGATGTGGGTTTGTGCCTGTTTAATGGTTAAAAAAAAAACAAAAATGTGGGAATATCAGGTTCAGCTTTGTCTTATTTTGAACCTGTAAAAAATCCAAACCTCAATAAAGAGAAGTCAAAAAAAAAGGCGTCATTTTTATGCGAAAGCTCCAAAACTTCTACTAAACATCTTTTTGGATTTTGACTATAGGTTGGATGGAAAAAGCATAAAGTTGTTTAATCAATTACAAAACTGTCTGATTAATGACTGCAGCCTCAGCAGCGTTATGTACCTGAAGTGGTAGGTTCCATCCTTCTGGCCGAAGCCGCTTCCAGGTACGAGGCAGATTCCTGTTTCCTCCAGCATCTTCATGCAGTAGAACATATCTGGCTGCTGTCCTTGTTCCTACCAGAGAGGAGACCAAACATGGGCTGTATGAAGCTTAATATTCTGGTGGCATGAGAGCATCTGATCGGGCTATGAGCTGCTGCTTTTTCATATCATTATTTTATTATAAAAGCAGCTACTGTGGGCTGTATTCATGGTGACAGTAGAGCTTTTATATCAGAAGTGTTGTACGTGTGTTCTCGCCACGCTGCTCTACTTTATCATTGGCCTCGGTCGGCATTCTGTTTCTGATTTGGCAAAACACGTTTAGCAGAAAGGATTTTCAATTGAAATAAAAATCCATTCAAAGCAGAACTGGACCAAATTAAGGGGAAACCGCTCAATTGAGGCGCTCTTTGTGACCAACAGTTCATTCCTGCACTTAATGAGCGAAAATGAATCCCAATTTATCGCACGGCGGTGCTACAGTCCAGAGAAAACTTCTCCAAACCTCTTCAGTTAGTTTTATGTTTTTACTGTTAATAATTTTATTCTGCTGTTTCATGGCAACAATTTCTTTTTTTCTGTTCATGATTTCTGTAGTTATTGCAGCACAGGTGCCCTTCAGAATCGTACATTTAAAAAAAAAATGTCAGGAGTATAAAGACAGCCGGGGTTGATGTGAATAAACCAAAAACAGATGAGCAGTGATTTAAGGGCGAGTAAATGTGACATAAATCTAATCTCCTCTGTATCATAAGCTCTCATAAAACATTCATATTATGTTATTTAAGTGTCTCAACAACACGAGCAGCTGAATCTTTATAATAAAAGTTCAACAGCAGCTCTGTTCAGAGCGCGAACAGCAACGCTGGCGTGAAGCAGCTCCGTCTCAGTGTGTGTGTGTGTTCTGAGGTGATTCCACGAGTGTGTGATCGGGACGGGGAGTGGAGTCACTAGGATTGATCAGGTGTCAGCGGGTCAGCTTTACTCTGACCTTATCCTCTGTAAGGCTAATCAGATTCTCAGTGGCTCGGCTCATCCGCCCTCTGTGAAATTCCTACAGAGCAGTCAGCCGTGGGACAGAATTGAAACTACAAGCTATTGGAAATCATTTGTTCTCTTTAGCAAACAAGGAGGTGGATGCACAATGTACTGCACTTGTTTAAGGAGCTGTTTAGTCCAGCATGCTGTTACAGTTCCTGTGTTGTGTTTAATGTCAGCCCTGGTTTGGCTTTTGCATCGTGGAGCGTGACTGTTACTGCATCTCAGGCCACCGAGGCCATGAAGGGACATAATAACCAGTAGAATAAATACTAATATTAGATCAGAGAGCGCGTTTGTTTCAGAACTGCGTCACTCATTTTGTTCCGCTCTTCTTTTGCTGCTCCTGATCAACGGACCTTGAAACAACAACACAGTGAATCAGTTGAAAACGTTGGACTGACCGTGGCCTCTTTGACGGCCTTTTCAGGGATGGTTATGCGAGGAAAGGAGTACATGGCGCCCTGCACAGGGTTGCAGCTGATGCCCTGCACGGTGTTGAGGACCTGCTCTGTGAGTTTGGCCTTCTCTGCTAAGGCACTTAATGTGGCTGTGCGTTCCTGGAAGGAGGAGAGAGAGAGAGGATTAAAAACACATGACAAAGGTAAGCAAACAAAAGAGCGATGCCATTGGCATCAGGAAACACACACGACGTTTGTGATGCTGGGATTGACTGTAGTGGAATAATTCATCTTGTGCAGCGATGCCCTGTATCATCAAGCTCCGGTTCAGAGAAGGGTTGTGAGTCTAAAGTCTGCTTCAAGTTCATCTGATTTCTCTGAACTCCGCAAGACTGACGACACACCAGACACTGTGTAGCACAGTCCGATTAAACAGAGATCACACCAAGAATCTCTTCACAGACCTTCTATATACGGTATATATATGCTCTTACAAAAGCTGCTTCATGCCTACATTTAGAAGCACTATTGTGATACACTGACTATAAACATTAATAATATAATTCAGGTAACTTCCTCTGCACCACCACTTTATTCTACGTGTATCATTTAAAAATGTCCCCAAAACTACAACGCTTTCCTTTTTCACCAGATTCGCAGAAAAACCAAAAAAATGCACAAAAATGTCAAGATTCAATTTTTTTTTTTGTCTGCGTTCACACAGATCTATAAGTATGGAAACAAATTCACATTGTGAGCCGTAAACTATCCAAAGCCCTCATGGTTTCCAGTTCTGATAACATCTGTGGGCACTTGGAAAAATAATGCACATGTTGATTCCAGGTTTTTTCGATTTTCAAAAAAATTCAAGTTTCGTTTTCTCATTTTTTTTCAATTTACGGCATCACAACCGTGTCCTATGATACAGACGACAGCTTTGAGTGCTCTCATGGTTGTTCTGTTTCCATGGATTTAAGTAAACTGCAGTGAAAAAAGAACCCACAGTGAGTAAAAACGTGACAAAGTGCCTCTGAACCGCCCGGGGTACAGAGGGTTAACACGGCCACATGTACAGAACATTATCCCAGAAAGGTCACGCTGCCATAAACTATCAGAAGGCTGAGCTGTCAGCTGGCAGCAGAGCGCCACAGTTTATACGTCTATATAAAGCCCTCTGATATGTCAGGTGTTTCCACTGGGCTGAAAGTAGTTTACGAGAAAACTACAAAGAGCCAATTAAAACAACACCATTACTGAGACTGTGTATCGATGCTGGTCGGAGCTGCAATATGTTGGTGTATTATTGATCGCCACTATAAATAATGAGCCTGTAGGTTGCACTGCACACTGTGTACCTTGATAAAGCTGTCATAGGAAGGCTCCCCGGGCTGCGGGGGGTTGACCACAAGGTCCATCAGAGCCTGTCCGGGAACAGGGGGGCACAGACGGACTGACACCAGCTTGGTCAGCTGGGCCTTCACCTCGTTGTCCATGTTGATGATCTCCATGTAGCCGCCACGGAAACCGCACCTGAGAGAGACGGGGACGTGGCCGAGACGCAGAGAAAACAAAATGAGACAAAAAGAAAGACAGAAGCCAATACTGCAGCCTCTCTCTCTCTAGGAGGTCGTGAAAACATTTCCTCTTCCAAAAACTCAAAACCATGAAGACCTAGTGAACACTGTGTTGACCTGGATTTATCCTCAGCATGGACATGAGATGACTTACTCTCCCATATAACACTTGGAGGTGGAGTGGAAGGATGCCAGTTCCACGGTTTCCGAGTACTCTGGCCCCATCTCAAACAGCACCTTCTTAAAAGAGTGGAACTGGCAACCGTCGGCGTACACGTTGTCCTGGTACACCTGGGGGACGGGGACAGAAACACGGACGTTACGGGGTGAGCGGGATCATAAAACGGCTAAATCTCGACAAGAGATGCACAGACGTTACCTCATCAGCCATGAGGAAGAGACGCTCCTTAGCTGCAAATCGGATTACATCCTCGATGCATTCTCTGCTCTGGACCTGACCTGTGAGGAAGAGGAGGGAGGCTCATTACAGCGAGGTGATTGGGCGGACGGTTGTGTCGCTTTGCTGCCATCTAGTGGCTCTTCTGGGAGTAATGCACGACATGTATGATTATAGAACTACTTGGGAATGGACATCTCCTGCAGGAAAGGATAAAAACAAAAACAAATATTCTCAGGGAGCTCCTTGTGGTTGAGGACACTCCCTGTTTGACCCCATAGCTCAGGACATTTGCTGTGTTTTATACCCCTATTCCCCCATGACCTGGATCCACCTCTGCTGACGAGCTCAAAAAGACATAATACCCCCAAAATAATTTAAACGAACTTAACTTCAGAACACCAAAGCGGTCAAATCATCTGTCAACAAAATCCAAACTTCATATCTTCTGGTCTCCTCAGCAGACTGAGCTACTCAGTTTTCAGGGTCCAACTGAATGCGGGTCGAGCAAAAACCAGTCTGACCGATTACTGGATTCGATATTCAGCAGTTTCTCGATCATCAGTATTTTTCTTTTTCTTGCTGATAAACTACATTAATTTAAAAATGCTGACGCAGCCTCTCTCTGCCTGTAGTCATCAGTCTGTGGTCTCGAGCGACGCCCCGTCCACAGACCAGCACCGAGGGACAAAAGTTCTGTTAGTTAAACACAAGGAAGCCATGAATAAACAGAGGCACTTTAATTACGTTTTGTGTTGGAGGTTGTTCTTAATTCTGACAACAACACTTTTATTTTTATTACTAAAGTATATCAGTCTCCTTGATTACTAAGAAGAAGCGTCGACATCAGTCCTGAAAAAACAGCGTCTGTCAGGCGGCAACAACAACATGACCAAACACATTCCAGCCTCTGAGAACCAGAGATAGAGATAAAACATTTTCTACATTGGTTGCACTGGCTTCTCGAGCGTTCTCATTTAGGTCCACCATCATTTAGATGCACCCAAAACGTATCGCTGCACCTTTTGTCACCATAATAATAGGTGTAGCTGCTGGGCTCCTGAGCTATGCAATCAGCTGCTCACTGCAGCTCCTCTCCCACAGGAGAATAGCACAAAAGGGCTGAGAATGCACACGGACAATGTGTGTGGAGCCGGCAGCAGGGACCGGTGTTGACTTTATCGCTGACTGGTCAACAGGGCGTTCATAATTACTGGGCGCTGCTGGCCTGCCGCTCCCAGATGACACGATCGGCCGAGCCCTCCCCAAACCAAGACCGATCCGATGCTTCACATGGGTTTGTTCTGACACGATACCGGCATCAACAGTGTAACTGCAGCGAGGGAAACCCAAGTTAGCAAAGAGAGTAAGCACAGCTACTTCACTACTGTCTCTGATAAGGCAAGCTGTGAAAAATGAAATGACTCCACTTAAATCTGCATGAAAAAAAAGTCATTAATAAATGCAGTACTGCAAATGTACAGAGACGATCATGAGGCTAAACTAGAACATCACACTGTGGTGACTCAATTATAGGCCACAAGCAATCAAAACATCCATCCATCCATTGTCTATACACCTTAATCCTCACTAGGGTCGCGGGGGGCTGGAGTCCATCCCAGCTGACTCAGGGTGAAGGCAGGTTCACCTGGACAGGTAACCAGTCTATCACACTCTCATTCACACCTACAGACAATTTACAATCACCAATTAACCTCAGCATGTCTTTGGACCGTGAGAGGAAGGCAGAGAACCCGGAGAGAACCTGCAAACTCCACACAGAAAGATCCCAGGCATCCAAACCAGGGATCTTCTAGCTGTGAGGTGATGGTGCTACCCACCGAGCCACCGTGCAGCTCCAATCAAAACATAGGAGTCATGGATAAAAATAGAAGTTTACCGGTGGGGTTTCCAGGATTGATGATGCACAGAGCTCGGGGGTTGCAGTATTCTCTGGCCTCATCCAAGGCACGCTGCAGCTCGGGGATGTCCATGCTCCAGCACTTGTCCTCGTTAAGGTAATAGTTGATCTGCACGGCGCCCAGTTCGGCCAGTGCAGCGGAATACAGCGGGTACTGAGGTATAGAGATCATGACGCCGGTACGGGTCGCACCTTCACCACTCACCAGCAGCTTCAGCATAGTCTGAGAGCGCAGGACCAAAAACAAAGACGCACATGTAAACATGCTACCTACTGCGTGCACACATAATCATACGGTAGCTTCATCTGCATCCTGCTGAACAAACATACATACATGTAATATGCTATAAAAGCTGCTCTGCCTGTTCTGTGAGTTTTCTTTTTCGAGAACACATCGTACAGGTTGGGCTGGGACCACCTCGTTCAGGAGACAGTGAACGATAAAACATCACTGGTGCTTTTGGAATGTCTTTTCTCATGTCGGCATTTCTGAGTCTGCAAACTTGGCCAGTAAAACAATACAAGAAGGAAGAATCACTCTTAAGCGTCATGAGCTTATTAGTCATAGAGGTGTTAGAAAGTAATACCTGTCTAACAAGCACAAATATGTGGGCCTCAGCGATCTAATTTTAGCACTGAGCTTGTGAGGATTGAACGCATCCTGCAGTTTATTTACTTCCTTGAAAGTTGTCGCCTGTATAATCTGTCCAGTAAAAGGCATCACGTAATGTTTTTGTTTGTTTTTTTGGGAAACAAGCACAACCGAAGTCAGAATGAGAGGGATGTTGTACCACGATGCCGTCGCTGGCCCCCGTGGTCAGGTAAATGTCATCGGGGTCGCAGGGCACGCCGCCGTCCCGCCGCTCGATGTAACGGGCCACGTCCTTGCGCACCGAGTCGATGCCTTGACTGGCGCTGTAGGAACCTGACGGAGATGCATGTGGAGACAACGCACGCTGTTATGGCAACTTGCCGCTTCAACAAATCACCACCAGGAAGCCTATAAACCACTAAGTGGGTGTATAAAGAGACTAAAGGTGATAATTAACTAGCAGGGTTATATAAAGCTTCTTCTGTTTGCACAAGAAAGACGTCACACTCATACAGACCCATGCTGTGTCCTCCACAGGACTGCAGAATGCGGCAGGCTCTACTTTTAGCATCCTCTGGGAATGTGTTGTCGCTCAGCAGTTCGGGGTAGGAGCACAGGGCCAAGACCTTGAAACAAAGAGACGGGTGAGCGTAACGGTGTAACATGAAGCACGTATGACTGCACGAGACAGGGAACCGACTGACACCGGCTCGTTTAAAGAGGAAGAAATCAGTTTCATATACATTGAGAAGTGAGACAGAAGGGGCTATATTTAGATGAGGAGACGGGGGAAGGGTTTGGGAGCAGACCTGTCGGAAGAAAGTGATTGGCTGCTGGCCCATAGCATGCGCGTCACCGATGTTGGCCTTTATGACCTCTGCGAAGGGCTTCTTCATTCCCTGCCAAACATAAACACAACGTACAGAAAGGTTTGGAGAATGCAGGACAGTGTGAAGGACGATACTTGTACACATGAAATATTGTCGTCTTTTCTGAAGTGACAAACCTAAATCAGTTTGTGAGGGACGAGGTTGGTGGACAGCTTTGATTCCAGGCCTCACATATGCAAACACACACATGACTGTTCATTACATGCCAAGAGGATGAGAGCTGCAGAGAACACATCGGGCTAGCTCATAACCAAATGCAGGGATCGTTTGAGTTGCCTGTTGGTTGGATTGAACCAGAAACTTTGCTGCAGTTGGATTGTAGAACGAAATAAAGACAAATACACAATCGTCCACTGTTTGCTTTACAGTCCCTTAGATCCTTTCTGTGTCTTGTCTTAACTGTTATCGTGTCCGGGACTAAAATTTGGAGAAAAAAACTGACTGATGCTGCTTGATTGCAGGCACAGCTGCATTAGCCAATATAAATCCCATTAAGCCAGATAAACTGGTGTGGCAAAGTTAGGACACATTATGAAATGCTGTAGTTTTAAAAAGGCTTTGATGTAGTTCAGTGAGCCAGTAGTTATGACAGAAGCTCGGTGTTTGGGAGTGGCTTCCTGTTTTAACACACATGCACAAACACTTACAGTACAGCCAACAAAAGGCAAAGACAAACAAGGTTTGCAAATATCATGACGCAGATTTCCAACGCCTCTTTAAAATAATCTGTCCTGGAAATGCCTTCGATGAAGGAAGTGCATTCACAATATTCACCAGCAGGCACATATCGGGTTTTGTAGCATCATTTTGTTTGTTAAAATAAATGTAATTTCTGGGGTTTCTGATTAAATTCCACCAGCCAGATGTTTGTTTTTTTTAATAACATATAAACTCCTGTAGACCCAGTATGTCAGCATTATTCAGAAGGTGCCACCTGGTGTCACCTGCTTCCTGCTGCACTCTTTGCACTGACACCACTTTTCCATATAGAGAACTGGATATTGTTGGGGAGGTTATGGAGGAGACACGAACCACTTGGTAGAAAAACAACACAAATAAAAAATAAAAATCGTGTTTTTGTGCCGATTCGGTCCAGCTTGGGCCTCTCTGTTGATAATTTGCAGGTTCTCACTTTGCCTGTGTGTTTTTTTCCCATGTGCCCCAGCGTCCCGCCTACAGTCCAGAGTCACCTGTAGGGGTGTGTTTCTGTCTGTTGGTCCTGTGATGAACTGGCGACCTGTGGCAGCTGCATCCTGCTTCTCACCCAGTGCTGGCTGGGAGAGACTCCGGCCCCGTGCGACCCTCCACAAGATGAAGCAGGTCTAGCTGGTGGATGCGTGGATGTGTCAGGCGATGGTGGTGGCTTTAGGTTTCATGAGAGGCTGAGGTAACTCTGTATGCAGTGTTATTTATTGACATGAAGTAAGACCCTGTGAGACACACACCAGCACCCACTGAGAGCAGCTTGCTGCCTTTAACACCCTGCTGAAGGTGATCAGCTGGAGGAGCTTACTGGTGGGACCACGACCATGTGAAGCCTGAACTATTCATAATAAACCAACCCCACACAAACATGGAGCACAAAAAATAAATATTTAAATCAGGACAGATTCCTATAAAAAATTCAGCACCATATGGTCGACATAATTACACAGGATGGCATTGCTTCTGTCTCTATTCCCCCCCGCCGCTCTTATAGTGGTTTGCTCCACGAGTCTTAAGCAGGTGAGGGGCACCTGCGTCACCGATTTGCCCCCATGCCCTGCAGAGGAACAGGTGAGTCTTTATGTTAAACAACTGATCATATTAATGCTGGTAAACTTTGGCAAAGCTGTGGAAAAGACTAGATGCATGTTTACTGCACCAACTACTGGTGAGAAACTGAGAACAATATTAATTACAGGCTTGTTTTCTCCAGACAGGATTAGCAGAGTCCCTCCACGTCCTCAGTTACCCTCAGGAAACTGTCACCACAAAGGAATGTTCCAAAATGGCTTCCTAACTCAGTAAACAACAACAACAACAACAAACATCACTTATACTTTCTGTACCATGCAGGCCAACGGCACTCCCAGTCTCCATGACGAACAGCCACAGCCTTGACGCAGATAGTTTGTGCAAACATACGCACAAAGTTTGAACTTAAACAAACCACCTTATCGTATGCTTACTGTTAACCTTCTGACACATAAACCCAGAGACACACATCACACAGAGGCTCTTAACCTTGTGTGTTTAAACGAAAAAGAACAGGATGTACAAGACGAGCCAGCAGTAAGAGAAGAGTCAGAAATAAATGGGAGAGTGTATTACTACAACGACGGTATTAATTTACTGTCCTCTGGCCAACAATATAATATGTCTGAAAGAAGATCTGCAGAGCAGCTGAGACCACTGACAGCCACGTGCACAAACACAAGCAAGCGCACACACACATACACACACACACACACACACACACACAAACACACACACACGCGCTGTGAACACCAGATGTTACGGAGAGCAGAAATCAAAACAGCCTGTTTGTTGGATTTGGCCAATCCAGTTCAGATTTTAGGAGACACGAGTCTCCTTCTCTCATTGGACAGACACGAGAGGCGTCTCTCTGGCAGAGCCAATAACGTTATACGGCGTGAATAACGCCCCTGGGTCAAATAAACCACCCGTCCAGGATGGGGACGCTTCAGAAACAAGCTGACCTCTGCTCCTGCGAGCTGACTTAAAAGGCCTGGGCTTTTTTGTCCTCCATCAGCGAACCGCCTGACCAACAAAGCTGAAGTTCCAACAGCAGATGCAGCATATTTTCTGCCTGGGTGTCACAACGAAACATTTAATCCACAACAGGAAGGAGAAAAAAACCCAGACGTCTGACTACGTGTTAGCGACGTGTCTTTGGTTTGTTCTGCTAAGTTGTGCAAAACTAAGTTCTCACATCAGTGTGTCTGAAATGCAGACCGTGGCAGCTTGGAAAACCTTTCCTCTCAGATGTTTGTATATTACCTTTCATTCTGGCAGCATTGGGCAAAATGAGTGGCTTTGTGTCTCCGTGCCCATGGCAACTCTCTCAAAAGGTCCCCATTCACAATCGGCTAGCTGCTCATTAAGACCAAACAAAGACCACAATGTGATAACTCCATGTGGAGCCGTTATCGGTGCACTAGTTAGAGTAAGTCGGCTCAAAGTCTGTCCGTCCCTGCCCTCTCTGAACAACACGTACATTGTATTAGGGGAGAAAAAGCCTGAACAAGGTAATGCTTGTAATGTAAGCATCTCATTTAAAAAAAAACACTAAATGTGTAGGAAACAGGAGCAGGGGACGCCGGTGTGCCTTCTCTTGTGTACGTAAGTTCCAGACAAAAGACAGAATACCACTGTGACCTGTTCCCAAAGTAATCCAACACCATCCAAACCACAGTTATGAAAAGAAGCTTCTCATGAAACGGAGAGCAGTGTGTGTTGCCAAAACTCTGAAAAACATTTTAGAAGTTTCAGAACCACAGTTCAGCGCTTCCAGAAACTGTTGAATAAGCCGAGAGGCCTGTGGATGATTACTGACGGCACATTTCTGCCTTCTGGCTGTGTGCGCTGTACTGTAGAAAAAGACTGGCAGTGGGACAGCGGGAACAAAAAAAGTATCTGTGTCCCCGTCCTCGATGGAAATGTGATGAATAGTTTATCAGCGGTTGCGTAAAGTAAGAGAACTCCCTTGAAAACGCTCCGATCCCTCAATATCTCCACTGCAGCCGAATAAAACTGCAATGTCTTCTGCTTTTTGAGCATCAATTCAATAACACTCGATCAAACCTGCTGTACAGCTGAGACGAGAATTAATGAAGTGGAAGATAATAGAATAAATCCAATATAGAGATCAGCTGTGGACGTGCGTCAGTCAGAGCAAACAGAACATAAAATCTTTGGGGCCATCTGGTTCAAAGGTTAGCGCCATCATTACCGCTGCCGAGTCGTTCACCTGTGCAAGAACCTGCTCATCCTTTCCTGAGCAAAGCACTCAAGAGCAGGCGGTTTACACACCAGACTGCACTCGGTACACCAACAGCTGGTTGCCACATCACCATGAACAGGGTGAGAGGAAGAGATTGAGCAGTGCTTTAAAAAAAAAAGGGAAACTCACAAATATTTATAGTGCCAATAAGGTGGAAATAAGCTTTAAAGGGATTCAGTTCAATTCCACACATAAAATGCTGGATATGAGCTGTGTTTTAATAGTTCTGCAAATCTAATTACTCTAAAGAGGAAAATTAACTGTAAAGACGACAGTATTGGCTCGACATGACTCAGAGGGAGGACAGTGAAATACATAAAACGCAGCCTCTTGTTTGTGGACTTTCACCTCTTGTTCAGGATCTTTCCATGAGTGGAAGCAGGAAGAGGTGGAAAACTAATAAAGAGCAAAACAGGTTACAAATTAAAAGTGAGCGACGGAGTGGAACGGACACATCAGCTGGATCACACTGGAACATAAACTGTCCAACACCATCACGCTCAGGAATTAGTAACCAAGTGATGGACTTTGATAAGAGGATGACATAATTTGATAAGAGGCTTTGGGGAATAATGCTGGATGGTAAGAACATTACCACCTTCTCATCTGCTCATTCAAAGCACTGACTTCACTCATGCTGAGACAAATACAAAGAAAAACGAGTCTTCATCAGCAGAAATAAGCCCCCTTTAGCTGAACGGTGTCATATAAGAAGCCCAGTTAACATGTGAGTCTGCTCATGCTGACCTGCTACACATATGATGAGCTTTAACACAAACAACATGGATTCACATGACACATGACAGTGGGTCTACAGGTGAGATGATGGTCCACAGGTGAGCACCCTGCTGCTGTACACACCTGAGAGAGCTCCCTCTCCAGCTCCACGGCTCGCTGCACGATGGGCCCGCGCACGGCGTACTCCACCTTCTTCACGGTGGGGTTGATGGTGTCGATGGTCAGCACCTTGGCCCGGGACATCACTCCGTTCTCGGTCATTTTCTCCTTGGGAAGCCCACGCCGCGTCGCGCTCAGACTGGACAGGGCTCTGCCGGGAGAGGAGGAGGACAGAGGGGGAGAGGTGAGTGAGCGGACCCCGGGACCGGCTCCGCTGCTGCCGGCCAGCAGCTCGTGACGGCGCCGGCTCAGCAGCCGGACGTTTCTGGGCGCGAGCAGCTGCATCCGTGCGGCGGCAGACATGATGTCAGGACTACGGCTCAACAGGTCGGTTAAGTTTGAGACGCTCCGGCGCGCAGCACGCCGTCGGCTCCGCTCGGGAGGAGCGAATCAAAGTTGTGTAAGTGGAGGCGGCTGAAGGCAGCAACCTTTGGACCTGTCAGGACTGACGGCCAGCTGCTGGGCCTCCTCTGAAGCTCAGCTGACTGACGGAGACGAGCTGCTGCTGCATCCACTCTCCGCCCAGCCTGCCGGTATTTCGGGGTGCCCAGAGAACCTCCCTCCCCTTTGTGTGGCTCCCAGACCCCCGGTGTCCCCCCACCCCCCCGTCCTCCGGTATCCCTACGCACCGTCAGCTCGGGGTTCTCCGGTTACCGAGCCCGAACCGCTCCACACTGGGACGTGGCTCTGGGTGATAAAACAGCGAACCGGGCGCGGATCCGAGCTCACGGCACCGCGCCTCTGCCTTTTGTCCTCAGAGCTCCACGCGGTTTGGGAGGAGACTCAGTGAACTACATGTGAGTGGTGCTGCTGGAGCCCAGTTCGGTCAGAACAATGTGACCACGTTTACTTATTGTGTACTATAACAATAGAAAGATCTTACATGGAGCACACAGTGGATTTAAAAAGTCTCCCTGCAGCAGCATGCAGCAGTGTTCAGTGTTTGGCTCCAACATCAGGAACAAGGTCACACCAAGTGGTTCAGATTTCCCCATTTCACTGGTTAAACTGGGACGGTCACGTGAGGGAAAGCAGCACATCTCCTGCTCCAACTCCCCAGTAAACCCAACATGAGCATGAAGAGGATGTGATGATGAACCAGGATTAGAGACTACTTACTGGGACGTCACTGGTCCGCAGTGTGACTGTCAGTAAAAGTCTGTCTTCACACTGAAAATGTGAGAAAGCAACAAGTGTCTGAATGTCCGGGTGCAGGTTTAAACAACGCAAAACAATCACAAGAAGTCCTGCTCCAACAGTAATGAGTGGGTTTTGTTAGCAGTCGCTGCATGTCACCGTTATTATATCGTTATGTGTTGTGAAATACAGCTCTGGTGATTCACTTATCGTGTGTATTTGAGTTATAGACCAAGTCTTTGTAGATGATTTTACATGTGCATGACTCAGCAGTTTATCCATAGTATCCACTGACCATAGAAGGAAAGTGTGAGATATAGAAAACACTTAAGTAGCTTTGATTGCCAAGAAGTTTAAATTTAAACACTGAAGCAATCATTTTGCATCTTTTTTAGGAAGTGGTTGCACAGTTGTTGGGTTTTGCAATGAAACACTCATCCAGCAGCAGGCGAACATTGTCATTATCACATCAGCGGGAGGAAAACACGCGAATAAATCACTCCAGGATGCAGCACGTAGCCCAGTATATTTAGGAATAAAACAGGAACAATGAAAGAATTCAGCTTCTTTTCAGCCAAATGATTCAAAATGTCAAAACAGCAACCCACAGGCACTTATTAATCCCAGTGTACCACCTTCACATTGTCCTCTCACACACATTTAGATAGTTTGTCACAGTGCAATACTGATAATGTTTGTATTCATCAAGTCTAACCAGCTTTCATTACCGTGAATAAAACAACCTTGAAACCAGTAACGTCAGATACCACTGTGACTTATCTCTTAGAGGCAAAACAAAGCTCAAAGCACTTTGGTACAGCATGTTCACTTGTGTTCATGTTTGTGTCAGAGTTAGAGCAGGAGTTCAGTAGAAACTGGGAGAACTTCTAACAGTGTTGTCTTTTCTACAGTACATCTCGTTCCAGTGGTAATCTGGTTATCACTGTCTTTACAAGAGACAGAAAGATGGAAGCTTAATAAATATAATAAAGCTAAATCAACAAACAATAACAATCTAAACATCAATAGTGAATTCACATTAAAGATGACTGTCTTCACCTGTGAGTTAGAATTTGGTCAAACTGTGCATTTGCCTGAAAATGACGATGTTACAGTGCTCAGTTAAAACCCTGTCGCTGCAGTTATATCAGAGAGAGTCTGTGTAGCTGCTGTACGCAGCGCAAAGGTGGGCACAGATGGTGAGAGGAGGAGAAAGAGCTGGTGCTGTGCTGTCTGAAGTCCATAGCTTTTGCACTCTTCTGTAACTAGATAGCACTGTTGTGGCTGGTGGGAGAATCCAAGGAGAAAGTCTTCAGAGTTGCCTCTCTGAGCTCTCTCCTCTGGGGAGACACACGGCGTCTCCTCCTGGGTGAAGTAACGTGATATGCTGAAGATATAGAAGAGTTTCAGTAGCTCCCAGCAGCGGGCCTTGGACAGTGAGGGAGAGTCACCAAGTGGGTGATGAGGGGGCGTCCGCACACAGGAGACTGAGCGACGTGTTTCACGGTTAATGAGAAGAAGTGCCAGCACACCAGGCCGCAGGGACACGGATCCTGGTAAGCAGCGCTCTCCAACAGCCAGGCAGTCTCTCAAGGTCTCCACCAGCGGTGACCAGAACCGGCCCACCAGCCCCGTCTCGGCTCTGTGCAGGGAAGGTGTAGGACCACACAGCACGCACACATCAGCTCCAGGGAGCAGCTGGAAGCGGAGCAGGCGGTGGGCGACAGTGGGGCTGCCCTGAGGAAGGAAAACTGGGTAATCACAAGAAGCTGATCCAGAGTCAGAGAGGGAGCGAATCAGAGCAGAGAGCAGGACGACCTCCTGGGGCGCCAGGCGCCACCACTTCTCAGTTGCTGTGGCTATCCTCCCGTGGACTATGAGGCAGCCAAACTCACTGTCTGCAGCCTGAGCAAAGCCATCCACAGCCTCCTGGAGCAGACTGGGGTTTGGGGGCACCAGTGAATCAGCGCAGTGTGTCAGGGTTCCTAGGATCCCCTCCTGCTTCTCCTCCAGCAGCTGATCGATGAGGCTGAAGCAGGACCGCAGGTCCCTCTTCAGCCTCTCCACATTCCTGACATTGACCAGCTCATCCTGGCCCAACACCAGCACCATGCAGTTCCACACATTCTCCAGGAGGCGTTGTAAACAGACCTCCTCCTCCTTGCTGCTGCCCGGAGCCCTGTGTCCACCTCCACTCACAGCAATGAGCATCACACTGTCTTGGAAAACTCTCCACACCACCTTCCCCCCACCTTCAGTCTCACAGCTGGACAGCACCACCTCCTGACCACCTCCGAACATGTGAACCCCGTTCAGGGAGCCGATGACGGAGAAGGGCAGCTGCTTGGAGGCTCCCCTGGTGAACAGAGGAACCCCGCTGCTGGCCGTGAGGCAGAGGAGCTGCGTTGACCCGTCCTGGAGCATCATCACGGGCTTAGCTGTGGTTGCACAACTAACGCGCCTTTCAGATTATGGAGCCAATCAGCTAGCGCTATCACTGAGCTGATCGTATAATTAGAGACGAGACACCAGCTATCACCAGGGTCCTGCGGTTGCATCAGCTAGGCTGAGCCGTTAGCATCACCGTAAATCATGTCCCCGCATCCCGCTAAAGAGGCTACGAACGAGTCAGAATAGCATGCAGCTAACTCAGCTATCATTCCTGGACACACACCTCCGTTCACTAACCTCTAGCTTTCGTTAGCTAACCGTATTTAACATGCTAGGTTAACAAAAGGAGTTACCGTCGTTTCCACAGTAACGCTGTCCCATGATTCATTCTTCACACTGGCAGCGCGGTTTCATTGGGCTGGTCGAGCTGCAGTTACGAGCTCCGAGATCTGCTGTAACCGCTGGAGGAGCGGGACCCGCACACCGACCTGGGTTCAGCGCCGGAGCTCATAGAAGCGCAGCTCGCTTCACAGCATGGATTTGGTAACGGTAAGCGCACATCTCGCGAGAGTATAGCCGATCGCGGGGGAACTATCGCGAGATGGCGATCAGAGTTCTCGTGATTCTTCCAAAGAGCAAATGGATTGTTGTACATTTACTGTTTCAGCGTATTACTGCGAATTACACACGCACTATCACATCACTAAAAAATAAATAAACTAGACTGAGTTTTATCAGTTACATTCTTAGATCCACTTATTGAATTTCCCTTCTGGGATAAGTATTTTTCATTCATTTCATTTCATTTAATTCAGTAGGCTACTGTGTGTCCCCATTTAGGTTTTACTCCACTTATGTGCAGATCAACATGGTACACAAAACAAATAGTAATATCATAAATTTAACATCAGATCATTAAAATAATCTCAGCTGCACATTAAAACATCAACAACAAAACCGTGTCAGATGGTAATTATGAAAAAAATACTTCAGCTTTTACATTCTCAGCACTATAAGCTGATGGGATGCTTTAGAATAAAATTTAGAACAAAACTTTTCCCTGTATTATATCACCTGATAGCCTTCAATGATTTTTTAAAAAATTAAATCAAGTAACTAAAATTAATTTTACATTGTGGTTGATTTACTTAGGTTTAAGTAAAGGATCACAATCCATTAAAACAAACAAAACAAAGATGTATTGCACCATTTTCCTGCAGCAGCTGTTAGAATGATGCAGCAACTGGGACCCAAAATAGTTTCTTCTTCTCCTCAAAAATTCTCTCTAATTTGAAAGCTGCCTTCCCATGAACAAAAATGCAAAAAGAGAAAAATATAAATTGATCAAATTTTTGAAGAAAATTCAGTCTTTTTCCCTCACTTCCACATTTGGTCTATTAAATACTCATATATCAGCTGATTTTATTGTAACGGACACATTAAAAATCCTGCATTCTGTCAGCTTGTTTCCACAAGAAGTTATGTTTGTATAAAATCATATCGATAATTTGCTGTGTACTAAAAAAACGAAACAGAAAAAAGTCAAATCCAGAAGGCTTTAGAGTAGTAAAGAATGTTTTTATTTATTAAATACAAAAAAGTCCAGAACAGTGATGACTAAAATAGAACAATAGAAAAGGCACAATAATTTACTCAAAAATCACACTGTGCCATGAAAAATAAAACTGTCTCCGTTCTTCTACTGTGGCTGAAAATAGATGATCTTCTTCCTGACATGACTCCAATGTGTTGTACACTTGAGAGATCCCGTGGCAGTGTAATGGCTTGGCATGAGGAGCAGTGTTGAGGTCAACTTTTCCCTGTAGCATCAAAATGAAGGCCTGCATAACAGACACATATAAAAACAGATATTATAAAATGAAAGCCAACACACATGGTTTGGTTTTGACCAGTTAGAGTCACAGATATGCTGCAGACACACCGAGTATACAAACAGACAGCAAGGAAGTGAAATTTGCTGCAGAGATCTGACAGGTTTCTACAGATGTTTCCCTCACTGACAACACTGAAAATCAAGCTGCCCACAGCATCTGTTTTACTGTGAGGGAAACTAAAAGGAAATCAGTATTTACTAGCCACTCAAATGAAATGATTTCACACAGCGAATGAGTTTCATAACACAGAAGGACACACTTGTCTCACTCAAAACGCATCAAAGAATTCTAACCTGTACTTTAGCTACTTGTCAGACTTTTCCCATAAAACCTTTCAGAAAATAACAACAACTGCATGTGCTGTTGTGTGGGATATACAATCATGTGTGGCATACATACCAATGAATACAGTGGTTTCACAAGAAGGAGCAGACCTTCTGCGGTCTGAAGGGGTTGGTGCTGGAGGACACACCGGTGAGCAGAGGGTCCTGCAAGGCATTCTGCATGCAAAACTGTTGTAGGTCTGCAGCCGCCTGAGAAACCTGGTGATGCAACAGAAAGGAAAATGCACATGAGCTCACACAGGCTTTTCTCACGCAGGTGGGTTACAGCGGCACTCGGCCAGGCTTAGACATGGAGTCTTACAGTTGTGTGCTGTCTTCATTTTAAGTCCTCAAATAACAGAATCATGACGATCACGAGGATGAATAGCAGTTCGGAAATTAAAGGACGCATTATTTAACCTGAAATCATCCCAGAAATGAACACCTGCGGTCTCAAATGCTAAACTAGAAATGCAGGTAAACTTCTAAAATAGACCATCTTCATATACAGTGCTTAAAAATGTATCAGACCAGCTGTCTACCTTGTTAAGCACCGTGTATATATGGATGATCCAGCATGATGAAGGGTTTTAACGCCACTCAGCTCTCCACGTTTCACCGCTTTGAACAGGAATGAGGAATTTCAAACTGAATCCACCTTTTTATAGCCAAACCTGAGCAGCTCACTGGGCTTCTCTGAGAAAACTAATCAAGCATCACATTCAACCACTAAAACTAATGTTTCTGTTCAGGAATGCAGGTAAATAACTATAATCTATTTACTATTTTTTTTCTTTTTTATTGTAAAATTTATGGATAACAACAATAATAATTATATTTAATCATTAAAAACATCATTTAGGTTAAAGATCTTCTACATACTGGTGTATGAACCATTACAGGAACATGAGAGATGGTTGTGATGTTAATTTAGAGCAGCTGTGGCATAAACCTGACACTGGGTGGAGTTTTATTGATTTGTTTATCACTGTATGAGGAAGTAGAAGTGAACCTAACACTGCATCCTTTGTTTACAGTGTTTAAAACAAAAAAAAGTACAGCTGAACTCTTTCAACGTTTGAATAACCAAAACTATGCCAACATGATGATCTACTGGGTTTAATTATGCTGGTTGAAACATCCACACAGGCATCGGTTTACTTGTTTTTTTTCACCTCAGCAAGTTCCCAAAGTTTTTAAAATTATTTTTTTAAACAAAGTAAAATGTGAGCAATAATTTACACGAATTAAACTGAGAAGTGGAGCTGATTTAAACAATGAGACAGATATTAAATCTGAGCTCTCCACCAGCCTGATGCTCATTAGTATTGTTGTACTTTTCTAAGTTAGCATACGGAGCTACAAGTCACCCCCTCCTGTCGGTGATTTAAACCCCCGGTAGCGGCAGATAGCTGGACATGTCGACGCTATCTGCTCTTACTTGAATTCTGAGTGATTATTAACCCCATTACACGACTTTAACAGTTCCCCTCCGGTCCAAACAACGCCCTGCTCCGCCTGTTGACTGTCGGCTAACACGCCGTTAGCCTCCGGCGGCGGCTAGCGTCGTTAGCGGATCGGGGTCGAGCTTTCTCCCGTTATTTGGGCGGAAAAAAGCAACGCCGCGGTGGGTTACCTTCACTCTGTTTATGCTCGCCTCGAAACGCAGCTGCTGCACCACCTTCTTCATGGCCACCAGGTTGGAGGAGCCCGACATTGTCGCTGTGTTTCTGGGTGAACGGTAGGCGCGGGGTTCGGTGGGCCGGTGGGAGGGAGGCTGTCGGCTGGATGCGGAGACAAAAGCGCAGATGATGACATCCGGATTCCGGCTGTTCGCACGAGCGGCTGCAACCCCCTCCGGAGCCCGGCAGGGGGCGCGCGACTACACAGAACAGCAGGCGTGTAATTTGGAAAAAAACTCTTTATTAAAACATACAGATCCTTATCAATCTAACGTCAATATAAACTTTAATTAAAATGTACACTTACTGTAAACATTTAAATTACTTTCATACATAATCGATATTCAGGAATATGTTTAAATTAGATGCACCTTCCCTCAACGTAGCTTAAAATCTGTACTGTCAGTGTTGATCCGTTCATTGGGAGAGAAAACAAACGAACGACGGCATTAAAGTGCTTCCTTGTTTGATCAGCTTTGGTGAATGATTTGTGCGAAGATTGTTCATTAGCGCTGATGGAGTTCAGCCATGGATCGAAGCTAAAGTCCAATGCAGTGACAAAAAACAACATTTAAAAAAAGGCACTGGTGGTTCTCTAAGTGAGGCTGTTCTCATCTTCCCCCAAAGAGAAGATACTCAGTCTGTGTTTTGACTTGAGCCGAGTTTCTCCGTCGTCGATGCTGCTGGACTCCTGCCAGCGTCCTCGATTTGAGTGTCTGGAGGAACTGAGGAGGGAAAAGAGAAGATGGATGATTAATGAGTGACACACTTTGAGCAATGAACTCAATCATACACTAGTCTGGCTGAGCGCTTTATTAGTCTGCCGTATGGAGATCGAGGGAAAAAAAATCTAATGTCTTTAAACCAAATCATAATGGAAGCAGCTTCATGTTCCCTGGAAGCAGTGACGTGTTTCAGTGGAACATTTGTACACCAAGAGGCAAGAACTGTGATTAAAATAGCAAATGTACTGAAAAATCTAATATTTTCTTATACCAAATATTTGGCAAAACTTTCAATTTTCAGTGTAAAAGCGTGCAAGCCCAGAGCAGTTCCTGTTTTCCATTGTGAAGGGGATTAAATGGTGATAACAGGTACATAAAGGAAGGGAAGGAGAACGGTGCACAACATGCTAATCCACAGTCTACATCCAGCTGGTGTGACTACTCCTACACGGACATGAAATACATTTATAGTTCTGAAGAATCCCTTCAGATCTTGGAGCATTCCTACTAAAATAACTCTTAACAAATCAAATTTCAAGCAGAAAACACAGAATGCAGCAGCGACTTGGATGATACCTGCTGTCTGGTCTGAGGCGGAGTGTCCGGTAGAGTTCAGCCGTGGATGGCACAGCAGCACTTTGTGAAGGTTTGGGAGTGGAGAACGTAGTGTAGGCTGATGATTTGGCCGGCTGAGCTTTCACCGAAGACATCCTGATCTCCGGCTCACTTCCTGTAACGCAGCGGATCATAAAATTAATATCAGTGACAATAGTGTCGGTTTTGCATCAAATCTTTGAAGACAAGCGATTTGTTTTTTGATTGGATCTTCAGTTGCAGTGAAAGTGTTTTTTTAAATATTTCTTACTTTTCAAAGTACCCTTCATCTACACATGATGTAGAAAGCTCTTAGAGATGAAGGATTTGTAGTCTAACCCTCAGTTTGTGCTTTCATGTCTCCAGGCATCATGTAGAAAGTGAAAACGAATGTACAGTGTTGAACAAAGTAAGTAGACCACCTGTCTAATGTGTTCAGCACTGTGTGTTGGCTGAGCAGCTCACTGGGTTTCTCTGAGGAGTCAGAAACTCATCAAGCGTCACATTCAGCCACTAACACTAATGTTTCTGTTCAGGAATGCAAGTAAATAACTATAATCTGACATCTGAAGCAAGACATAATAATGAGCGTTACTATTTTTTTAGGTTTTTTTTGGTAAAACTGTCAATTAGAAACTTCATAGATAACAATAATAATTATATTTTAGCATTAAAAACATCACTCTGGTCAAAGAGCTTCTACATACTGGTGTATGAACCATTACAGAGACATAAGACATGATGCAGGTAATTATTTACCAATGCTGTTAATTCAGGGCATAAACCTGACATTGGGGGGAGGTCTAATAGATTTGATAAACACTGTATGACCTAGGTCAGTCCTACAATTTTCCTTGTGCGCCATATGAGACACACTGTGAATTATGTGTGATTGAAAAAGCTTTGTTTGTTTCATAAAAGTTTTACTGAAGTTACACCGACTTACTAATGGATAAGGCACTTTGAGCGTCAGATGAGGAACATCTCCTTCGGTGCGAAAACGGAGTCATGTTCAAAAACTGATTTTTGAGCCAAGAAGCACGATCTTCTTCAAAGGCCTTTTTCTGCGGAGTTCAAAAAAATTAAAATAAATGAAATGCAATGACAACCCTCACAGTATGTGTTTAATTCAACTGTGGTGTCGAGTAGGAAGACTTGAGCACCTCCCGTCCCAGGCGGATAGCAGCCTCTGTGAAGTTCTTCCTCTCCCGCTCAAAGTTTCTCTTCTGTTCCTCAAAGAGCCTCCATTCCTCTTTGAGACGCTCCTTCTCCTCCAGCGTGTAGCAGTCGTTGAGCAGAGCGGCCGTCTCATCGTCAAACGATGTGTTGAGTTGTTGCTGCAAAAGCAGACAGTTAGTTTCATATTTAAGTATTCTTTATCATCTCCAAGTCATTTTAATAACAGAAGGGTTTATTGATCTGAACTACAGTTTCAGTTCTGAGGAGTCTCTTATGTCGGTGTGAACTCTGCAACTTCTTTTTTTTGACATGAGACCATTTGTCAAAGGAGCCGGTACTGACCTGGAGGAGCTGCTGTTGTGCATGAATGAACTCTTTGCACTGCTGGACTTCACATCTCATTCTCTCCATCTCGTCCTCGTGGGCTTCCAGCGGTATCACCTCTTTATTGGACTCCAGCTGATTCTGCGCTTGTGAGGCTTTGCAAAGAAAAAAACACTGTTGATACGCTGATAATCCTGGTTTGTTTCAAGACTTAATATGTAAATGCTATCGCGGAACAGACACGGATTTTTTCCAGATTTTGATAACCTTAGTTCCAGTGATTCGTGTCAAAGACAGATTTTACGGATCAAATGTCCAGGGTATACAACTTGACCCCTGAAGTTATGTTTGCAGTATTTCATGATAAGTGAGAGTGCTGCATGTACCTTGGCTGTCTAATTTCTCCACGTGGTTCCTCAGTTTCCTCCACTGCTGGCGGATGCTGTTGGTGAGCTGCTCCCGAGCGTGCTCACAGTACTGGTCCAGGGATTCCCTGCTGGTGTCACCCGCCTTCTCCTCCCCGTCCAGGTCAGCCTGTAGCAACACAACTACTTTTAATATTTCATCTTTCCTCATCCGACACATATGAATTTGATGTAAACATGTTAAATCATATTATGCATTTGGTCAGTTGTCTGTCCGTCAGAAAACCAGCAGCAGCGTTCTCATGAACCCATCCTCCAGGTTTATGTATGTGTGTGATTCACACACCTGCTCCTGGCTGTCGTCGGCTGTGGCTCCTCTGGCAGAAGGCTGGCGTGGACTTAGGATGTGCATCATCTCTTTCTTCATCTGCTGGAGGACTTTCTTAAGCTCAGCGTTCTCCAGCATCAAGGACCTCTGACTGGCCTCGTAGTCACTGAGCAGGGACTTGTACATGTCGCCCTCGTGGCTGCAGACAAACAGCAGTTTACAAATGCATTCCTGTAATTGTTTCCATGTTTAACAGATGACAAGGTGGCTTAATAATACCTGGATGATGCTTTTGTCGTCTTCCAGTGCCTCCTTTTTCCATCTGACCGGCCCAAACAATTAAGGACATCGATAGCTGTTTGGAAAGCAAAAACTTAATTGAATTCTTCTGAAATGAAGCATACCAAGTTTCACTAAAGACCGGAGCCTTTACCTAGTTTCTTGTCCTTCCTGTCAACCAGCAGCTGGCTGAGGCGCTCCTTGAGCTTGGCAGCTTCTCTCTCCTTTCTCTTGGCATCGTGACTGTATTGTGAGGCACGGCTAGCGATGACACTCTGGAGCTTCTGAACCTGTCAAGAATGAGTGAACAGTTTGTCAGCTTCTCACATATGATTTGTAAATGCAATTATAGCATAAAAGGAAGCTCCACCTCACCTCATCTTTTTCTGTTTTTAAGCAGCTCTGCAGAGTTTTAATTTTGAGTTGTAGCTGCCTCTCCGTCTCATGTAGGCCCGACTTCTCCCTTATGGACAGCTCCAGTTGATCCTGAAAGGAAATATACATCATATAAGCAATCAGTTCAGGGTTAATGCCGCATGAATGGAGTCCCAAAGAGCCTGCCCCCATCCTACATCTGCAAAGTTCTGTTTTAGGATTTAATACAACTGACTTGCATTATATGACTACAGTCGGACTCAGATGTATGTGGGCCAGTTTGTCGTTTTAAATTATTTATCAAGACGCTAGGAAATGTTATTGCTGTAATTTAAATAACCTTAATTTCCTCATCAGTAGGGTTATAAAAAAAGGTTTGCTATGCCTTGCAAGTCATACAAAGCAGGGAGACTTCCCAGCAGAGCACTTTGCAAGGTTTGTCATGAGGTCTTTGAAGTTTAGCAGTCATGTCTTGTGAAAGATTGCAGAGGGTCACTATGTAAGATAAGATAAGATATGCCTTTATTTATCTCACAGTGGAGAAATTCACTATGTGCATGACTGTGTTTACGTTTCCTCCCTCTAGTGGTTGAAAATATGTTACTGCACCTTGACTCCAGGACATAAACTGTATACTAAAGTCTGTAGGTACACACAGGTGGACCCATGAGAAAGATTTTCAACTCCAACTAAAAAAGGAAAGAGACTGTCGATCCTACATGCCTTGAGTCTGGAGTTGCTCATCTGCACATGCTCCAAGGTGCTGGATTTCCTCAGCTGTTCTCTCTCCAGCTCCTCTAAATTGCACATATTTCGCCTGTGGATCTGCAGCAGCTCGTACATGGCATTCAGAGCCGGCACCGTGTTCAGGCTGGCGCCCCCTGGTTGGATGGCCTCGATGCACGTGGAGGAGAGGCCCAGAGAGGCGAGCTCCTGTGAATCAAAGAGGACTTTAGTGCATCACATTATGTCTAGAGAAAATAAAAAGGTTGAGTATACGTCACACACACTGCACAAAAAGAGCCTTAACAAGGACACAAATGTCAAGATGTAGCATCAGTTTGAAAGTTAAGGCCTTAACTGTATGAGTGGAAAAAAACAAAACAAAGCCATAAACCTCTGGGCGTTTCCGTACCTGATTGACGTATGAAACGCACTGAGGAATATTGTCCTCTGTGCAAAAGGCACTTATCATGCTGTAGGAGCTTTTGGCCAAGGGAAAAGAGAACATTGACACGAGGTTGTTCCGTCTCGAGGGCGACATCGTCCCATGCGATATGCTCGAGATCTCGTAGTTTTCTGAAAACAGAGAAAAATACAGCAAACTGTATGCAAATCACATCCACCGTTCCTTCTGCCGCTGAGAGGCTTGAATTAGGTTGCTGCTGCTCTAAACGAGAACAAAAATGTGGGTCACCTCTAGCAGGTCCCAAAATAAGCACAGCTGATGGGTCTTTCTATTCTTGAAACACCAAACGCGGGAGAGAAAATTACCCATGGATGTCTCAGTCGTCCACCACTCTCCCATATCAGCGACGCATCAGGAGACGAGGATGTGAGGTCATGAGTTACCACCAGGGAGTCGGATTAGCAGCAGAGAGTCCTGCTGGAACAGAGCCCTGCAACGGAGCATCAAGTCATGAGACAGACCAGCAGCGCATAATCTGGGCCCACACAGGATTATCTGTCAGATGTGTGCCAGCGGGGGGTTAGATTGTGGTTTGAGAAGGCGCTCCGATTGGCTGCTGGCCTCTAAATTCCTGGGTAGTGAGAGGATCTCAGCCACAAGCCAAAAGGATTTGCGAAGATAAAAACGAGACGGTCCATTACAGTGGGACTGAATCAGAGAGCTGCATTCATGTGTGTGTGCTTTTTAAAAACACTTTTCTGCCTTTAGGACAATCCCATGATGTGAGAACGCTCTGGTGAGACAGGCTGGACCAGATGAGCCACTCCCACAACTTTAGCTGCTCCGTACTGTGTCAGGCACATTGTGCTGGTGAACAAAAGGGGCAAAACGCTGCATTTATGTTCGGTTAAGCCACGGATACAAGCTCGAGGACTGACAGTCAGCAGAAGTGCATTTTAACAAACTCTCCTCAGTGCTCTTGGGATAGAAAATAATAGAATATGATCTATTAGTCCCACAAAGGGAAATGTGCAGCGTCACAGCAGCAAAGTGACAGAAAGAAAAACCAGAAAACACAACTACAAACTAAAGAGGTGAGGTATGCACACTATATATGCAATATAAATAAGAAAATCAGAACACAAGGATACTAAAAACACAAAATGAAGACTATTTATATGAATGAACTGCACTGGGGATCCTTATCTAGTGAACCAGGAAACTTTTTTTTATTATCTCAGGCTACCCTGGCTGACAGATAAAGTCCAGGGTGTGCTGGTGTGAAGTGGCAGCTTGTTATCCAGCCTCTCTATAAGTTAGCATAAAACGAATGTAATGTTTGCTAACTTTAGCTTGTTTGCTAAACCGTTTGTAAAGCACATTTAAGGAGGAACATATTTAAACAAGCCATTTAACTGAGCACAAACCTTCCTGGCTGGCGGTGAATTTAACACCAGCTGACGGTGTTTTTCTGCCTACTTTAGTGCTCGGGAAGCTTTCTTGCTAACAGCTAAGCTAAGGTAACGCACCGTAAACACACTCACAGGTAGGACGACAAGTGGGTCAACCAGATCCGACGGTTGTCCGAGTTCGGTGCTGCTCCTGAAATCAGCAGAATCCTCCCTGGTCGAAAACACCTCCTCCGAGTCCAGTCTTCATCTTGTCACGGCTGTCAGACGCCTCACCGACCCGGACCTGAGCAGAACCACACCGACGCACCAGCACACCTCCCGTTTGTGTTTTTTGAAGCCGAGTCCTCTGAGCCGTCCGACCAAGCCGCTCTGTGATTGGACGCGGCGTTGTTAGGCAACCAGTACGTGAGCCGCGCATTGGACGTGAACGTTGTATGCAAATGAGGAGAGCTGTCAGGTGTCCTGCAGCACCGCGACGCTCCCACAGGTGAGTGTCACCTGTGCTGCTGCTGCTGCTACACGTCGCCTCGCTGTGCACAAGCACCTGACAGCTTCTTTAAAACGATTATTACTGAGGAATGGGCTCAGTAGCTGGTAAATAGTAGTGGTCGGTGTAAGTGTTTGTGGATAAAATATGAACTATGATAGACTCAAGATCAGTTTATTGGTTGACACATGAAAAAGGAATATGAGTGGCTGTAAGTAGCTCTCAATATTAAATGAAAAATCCTAACTTTCTCTAATAAAGGATGTTTAAAAAAAAAAACAGAATCAAGACAAAAATACACAAAGTAATGGTTATACAGTGTTTAACACATTTGTTAGATCACCTGTCTGATGTGTTGAGCACTATCTATCTATCTATCTATCTATCTATCTATCTATCTATCTATCTATCTATCTATCTATCTATCTATCTATCTATCTATGAGAGTAGATTGAACACGAACAGGGATCCAGTCAGAAGAAAACAACCTGGATCAGCGCCATAGAACAAGTTCAGGCTGTGTGGGAGGTAATACGAAGTTATTTATTTATTCAGTCTGTCAAGTGGAAAGGTATGTATATATTAATTTTTTCTACAGATATGTGCTGTTACTTGAAAGCAAATTATGTGTATTAGGAATGAAAAATATTAAATAATCATTAGTAGTTTTTTTTTTTTTTAAAAAAACAGATTTTCTTTAACTTTTGTTAAATTCCAAATAATATCTACTAAAATCTCAGAAAACAAAAGTCTGTTAAAATGCAATCCATCAAAAATCTGTATTTTTACAAACAGTAATTCATTGTTTTACGTGTGATTGTAAAATTACACATAATTAATTCTATTCTACATGATTGTGTGTAAGAAGCATTTTTGCTCTATAAACACAGATTTAGAGAAATAACATAAAATAACGTAAAAGTGACATCACACCATTACCGATCCAGCTGCACGTTTTGATATACACTAATATATACATTATAATATATGTAATATCTGGGTTACATATCAGTGAATTGACTTTGACTTCCACAGAGTTTAAATAAAATATCGCAATCGAGTGCTTCTAAAATCACAAACAACAGCTTCGTTGTGTTGTTCTGGTGCAGTCAGGAGGAAATTCCACAGAAGCCAACTCAGAAGTTGTTTTTATTTTTATCCTCCTAATATCTGAGAAACTTTCATCATCGTTGTGTGTATTCATGCTCTCAGTATTAAAGTCAGGATGGTGCGTCGTCTCTTTCATGGTGACTTTAATCATTCTCTGACAGAGAAAGTTTAACAGTTCATGTCTCAGCAAGTTGAGTAAAAGTGCTTCTACCTGAGTAAGCACATATTCTGACATTCCCATCAGTCATTCACACGATCAAAGCTGCACATACACCAGGACTCTGTGGGGCAGTTTGCAGCCTCTTGAGGGCAACTCTTTGTTCAGTTAGAAAATAAGAAGACGCTACATCCTGTCACTTTATCCAAAGCAGCCACACGGAGACAAGCAGCAGGTCGATGGATCGTCATCGGTCACGTATCTCCCAGAGTCAGGCTGGTCCCTGCACTCTGCTATGAAGGCCTGGAGCTGCGACACCGGCTCCTTCTCGTGCTGGTGATGCTGGAAACGATAAAAGTAAAAATAAAAAACGAGGACACTCGAGGACGAACAGCATCCCTGCAGGACAGCTGCACGGCTGATTCAGACTGACCTTGATGGTTTCGTAGGTGTCAGTGATGAGAGCGATGAAGAGGCTGAGCACCATGTAGATGAAGAGGGAGATGAAGGAGTAGAGGTAGAGTCTGCTGAACAGCCACACCATGTAGCTCTTGGCTCTCATCTTCAGGAAGGTGGCGTACATGTCGTCCCCGTTGACGAGCGAGAACAGGCACTCGGTCACCTTGTCAAATGTTCGGAACTGGAAAAAAAAAGAGGTTTTCTTAATATCAACGAGCACCTGAAGGCCTGAAGAAAACCAATGAGGCCACAGTGACACCTAAAATAGACGTGTTAGGCTCATACTTTGTCGTGGTAAGGCCCGAGGACGATCCAGCCACAGAAGCTGTACCCGAGGTAGATCATGGTGGCACAGCAGCAGAACCGGAACACGTTTGGCACAGCCGCCCTCAGGGTCAAGATTAACACCTGAGTAGAAATAAAAGGTTTCAGTTCCTGTGGATTTGCACCTGATCTCATGTCCTAAAACAAGAATTCTTACGTTGTACTTCTTGAAGAAACCGAGGTATCGGATCACACCGACCCAGACGAGCATGGTGGCGGTTCCCAGCAGGATGCTACAGACGTCGTAGTTTGTCTGGAACTGAAAACACAAAGTTTAGACTGGAAGCATTTGAGGCTCAAACTGATTCCTGCAGTGAGCATCATGTGACATTAACCTTTGTTTGGATCCCAATTTTCAGCACCGATCCAGCGACGGTCAGTGTGTCACTGACGATGATGAGGATGTACCAGCCGTTCACAAACTCCATGCGGTCGGTCCACGACACCACTTTATTGTAGTGGGCGTGAAAGAAGACGCTGAAGTCCTGCACAAGAGGAATCAATGCATTTTAAAACAGGGCGGCTCAACAAACACACACAAACCGGTGAGTCAGTCCTGCACAAAGTGGTTGGATTGTTTAATTTCCACATGAAATACTAAAACGTTCTGACTTCTGAGCTTGTACTTTTTATCTGATGAGGGTTTTATCATCTAATTTTTAAACACGAATGCAACTATCAAAGATGTTTTAAGCAGCAACTCCTTTTACACTTTAGACTTTTCTTTAAATTTTAGGTTTGAAAGAGCTCTCCACACACACCAGGGTTTAATTTCTGGTGTATCTGTTGCTTTAAAATAGTCTTAAATAGAAATAAAAATAATCTACAAATACTACTAATAAATATAAGCCAACTTTGTTTTTATTTGCATGATGCTGATTCCCCTCAGCTGCTAAAACCCATCATGCAAAATACAGAGAATGTGACGTCTTCAGCAGGATGTGTTTTTTGCATGTTAGTTGTTGTTCCAATAATTCATTAAAAGTTGAGCCAGTTGCTGAATGTAGGAAAAGCAGCATTTACTAGATCCTCATGCAGCGACTTACCGACTGCAGATGGATGCCTCTGATGACAGAGCGTGTGCAGAGGACCAGAGAGGTGAGGCAGGCGAGGATGACCACAGAGTCAAAGACCAGGAGGAGATAATCGTTCTTCCCAGCTGGAAACCACAGAGTTCAGGTTAGTTTGTGTTTTCACGTTTTTGCTGCTGCTACAAAAGAGACTTTCTTCAGAGTCAGAAGTTTCCATCCACTAGGATGCCATCAGACTGTTGTGAGAAGCTTGTGGAAGGAAACCCAGAAGGTTTGACCCAAGTTCTTGGGTTTTAAGGGCACGGTTGGCGGTTCTTGGGGGGTTGGTTGGAACTTTTTGCTTTTGAGGAAGTTGTTAAAATATTCTCTCTCTTATTATTCTGGTGTTTAGCAAATAGAAATAATGTTGGTGATCCTGACTGACCTGAAACAGGAAACGTTTAGTCTGATTTAATGTCAGATGATGAGAAATAAAAGGTTTTATGTCTTTTTATACGGTGGATGTAAACTTCTGGTTTCAGCTGCAGGTGTCAGGCCAGAATAAAGTCACGGTGCCTCCTGCTGGCTTCATAAACAATTACATGTATTTCATTTGGGGATGTCCATTGTTTTACTGAGAACTCACAGGTTCCCTCCACGTTCCAATCTCTGCATTCATAAATCCTCACATCATTTTCAATGTGAACCTTTATCTCCCCGCTGTGGGCGCGGTTGTCAAACACAATCTGTGTAAAAACAAAAGAGTTAGAAGCACAGCACAGGTTGTTTCTGAGCTCAGAAAATGTGCAGCAACTATTGATTCCTCAGTGTTTGCTTAAAGCTCAGCTGCAGGCGGTTTGCTTGTCACCAACCGTGATGTGGAAGTCGTAACAGTCTGGCAGCTCGTGGTGCCGCACCGTCTGCAGGTTGATGGTTTTCAGGTTCAGGTAGATGTTCACTGACAGCAGCCTGGACACACAAACACATATTAGCAGGAGGAACTCTCACCGCCTGGCACGGAACCGGTACTTATCAGTTTAGTCACCTTTTGAAGTCTAAAGAGGAGTTGACATGAGCTGCCAGGCTGCTGCTGTTGTCCAGCGACTGCTCAGGATATATGGAAACACAATCTGTGAGGAGAGCAGGCGTGTTCAGTTTAAATTCAGGTGATGCTTATTATTCTGCATGAATATGTCGCTCTCAGCAACACCAGCTTCCTCTTTTGATGTCACATGTAAATCCACTCTGTGATTATTTCCTATTCTGGCCGTGAATCAGCTTCCAGAAATACATCCTGCATGAAACATTAACCATAGAAACAACCCAAAGCAGCCATCAGACCTCAACGTTTCACATTTAAACAGCAGCGTTGTGCTTTTGTACCTGTTTCGACATGTGGATCAATGTCAAAGCTGTCGTTTCCAGGATCAATGCTGCTGTTTCTGTACAACACCTGGCAGACGGACAGAGGAGTGGGCTCGCCATCGACGCTCCCATACGCCAGGTTACCCACGGTCAGGTTTTGGAGGCTGGTGTACTGAAAGAAACGGAGAGGGACACGTTTTTAAAGCACTGAAATTATAAAGGAAATACCACGAAATGTCCAGACTACATCTTGGGTACCCTGTTGATGACGTAGTAGATGTGATCGTACACATCGGCTTTGGTGTAAAGCGCGTAGCTTCCCAGCCGGGGATCCTTGTATTCTTTGAGGAACAGATGTCTGAACGTCATCAGGTTTTCGTCTTTGAAGGTGACCATCATTTCGTTGCTCAGGCCGAAAGAGACCAACTGACGGGAGGAAAAATAATGAGGATGAGACAAACAGCTGCCAACCTCCTACACATTCATGACAAGTATAGAGGCGGTTGGTGCCAAAGTGGGTCAAACCACATTTATAGTAGTTCTAGAGAAACATGGGGTTGTTGGAGGAGTCATTATCTGCATCCAGAGATGTTCCAACTCTGTCCAGAGATAGAAACAGCTGCTCTGTGATGACTTATTTCAGTTTTAACTTCCTTCTGCTGAGCACCAAAGCGGGCCGTACCACATTTTTTTGAGAAACAAACTGATTCCAGGTTTGTCTTGTTGAAGAGTTTTCATCATCAGGAACTAGAGATCCTTCTGAGGACCGTGGGGTAGAAACAGATGCTTGGTGGTGCTTCATTAAGGTTTTATTTCACCTTACCATACCTACCAGTTGAGTTTTCACAGGGCTTGAGGTTGCGCTGTCCGCCATCTTGAATTGAACTACCTGTGATATAACAGTCAGCGGTTCCTGTGTCTTGGTCCAGTTTGCCGCTAAATTTTCATCATGGGCCAAACTTCAAAGTGGCATCATGACATTACCAGTGGGCTGCTGGTTGGAGCACTTTGACACCAACTAGTCGACCATAAACACTGATCAGAACAACATCAAACTAAACTTTGGATTCTTTGTGGTTTGGCCCACTTTGGCTCTGAACCCCTCAGTTGTTGTAACCCAGCGACTGCACGGCCTACCTGGACGGTGATGATTGCGATTTTTAATATTTGTAACATCAGTTTCCATGGCTTCCGGCCCCTGGCCCTGTACTTCTCACAGGGGTTCATGAAGAAGTACTTGAGCCTCCGTCTGAAATCCTCCACCGCCTTCGACTCCAGAGTGTGAGCGCTCCATGTGACGTGGCCGTTGGTCCTCCTCTGGTCCGACCAGGCAGCCAGCAGCGGCTCCGAGTCCTCCATCGAACTGAAGCTGCTTTCTGGTGATATCTGTCAAACGCCCACTGTGAGCCTGAAGTCTTTTGGAGAAGCAGGAAGAGGGTTCGGCCATTCCAGTCATTCTGATGTATATCTAACAGGTTCTCCTGCATGTGTTCACTGCTGTTATCATGTCCCAGTATGTTCAATTTCATGCTGCGGTGAACGATAATTGTGCTAAATTCAGCTTTAACTCGCTGCAAAACTATAAATGTGTGTTTTGGGTGACTTTGGTTCCCCCACAGATTATTGTAGCAGAGCTGCTAACAGCAAAGAGAAGAAATGAGAATAAATGACTAAACATATCAAACTGTTGAATGTTTGTTTTTCTTAGAATAACCAAGACTGCAGTCATAAATAAAAGTTTTGTAATCTCAGTGACATTAAGGGTTTAGAACTTACTGCAAATTATATATATTACAAGCCAACCAGTCTCTCTCTCTCTCTGTATATGTACTGATAATGATAAGACATAATGAATTACCTGCTAACACCTGCTGGTGATCCAGAGCCAACAGTCCGACTCTCAGGGCGTCTGCTGCCGTCTGAGGAGCAGGTGGTGTCAGTCGCCGCTCAGCCTTCACCACGATGACACGCTCATTCCTCTGCGTCACTTTGAGCTTTTCCAGTTTCTCCAAAACAAAACAGCGACCAGTGACAGAACCTCTGAGCACTCAGAAGCTCAGACTGGATGCTGCAATCTGCCACTAAGTTCACTTTGAATTTGACTTCTTGAATAAAAAAACTGTATTTCAAGAGATCTCAGATGCTGTTTTGCTGCAAGTTTTGCTTATTATCCAATAAATCACACAGTATCCAGTGAAAAACACAGGTTTAAATTTATATATAAAAGCTTTCATACACAACAGATCATCGTACACGACCAGCGGAGGAAGAGACAAGCAGGATTTCACATTACGCTTTGTGATTCAAGACTTCTGTAGTGACAAAAAAATGTGAAAAAAACAAATCTCATTGACTTGATGCATCGAAAACATTTGGTCAAAGGCAGAGCGGCTCATCAAACACACACGGACACGATCTGAGGCAGTCATTCCAGTTATAGAAGTCTATCAGGCGTTTCATACCAGAGGAAGAGTTGAAATATTACAGATTGTCAGTAACATTTTCTTACTGAGAATCGAACCATGATTCAGTTTGTCTTTAAATAAATCTGTCAGGTATTGAAAGCTACACAGAGCTACGCACACACACACAGATCCTCTGATGAGACAGTTTACATGATATTTCTTCCTTTTCAAGCTGTTTTATTTAGTTTCTTGCACATTTTAAACCTTTGTAGAAAAGACACACACACATATATATATAGTCAAAGTTATTTTAGCCTCTCACCAAAACTACTGTAACCAACTGGCACCAGCATCCTTGCATCATGACCCGACCCAACATGTTCCCCTTTACAAAGCTGACTGGTAACATGTAGCTCATCCCACCTGCAGCCACTTCTCACAAACTGTCTGATCTAAGGAACGAGGAGCACCAAGAGCTGAGGATTCGTCCCTTTAACTGTTTGTTAGAAGATGCTCCTGTGCGACGTCGGCGTGAGCGAGCGCGACCGGAGGGGCTGGAAATTGGGGTCCCCTCCGCTGCTGGTGCAGCCCGCCGCCCCGGCGTCGATGTTGGAGGGGGACTCCACCATCACCTCGTCCGGCAGCGCGGGCGCTCCGGGGTCTCCGGGCTTCGGGAGGCTGGAGGAGGTTGTGGAGGACACTGCGGCGAAGCTGGCGCCGCTCACGGAGGGCAGGTTTCCGCCTTTCTGTATGGACGGCAGATTGAGCGAGCCCGCCACGTCTGACGTGGAGGGACTTCGCTCTCCGTCTGGGTGGAGGAGGAGGGTGGAGTTGGTGGAAAACGTCGTGGGGAAGTCGCTGGTTGAGCTCGAAGGGCTGAAGGTGCAGTCGGATGAGGAACTGGAGACGCCTGCTGTTGAGAAACCAGAGAAACCAGGAGAACAGGGATGAGATCAGAACATCAAGAACAAGCCACACATGTAAGAGACTCTCTGACTCGGCCCACTGACCTCTGAGAGACTCGATCTTCTCGTTTTTGGCCTTCTGCACCTCGTCTGTGATCTTGGCGATGATGAAGTTTTGCGTGCGCATCTGCCGGATGGAGTCGATGAGGGCGTCCAGGCCGCGGGGGTTCTCGGCCAGGATGTCCAGCAGCATGGCCGACCTCTTGGTCTGCGTGGTCCTGCAGCTGATCTCCTCAGCGTCGTCTCGCGTCAGGATCCTGCGGGAACGGAGGTAGTCCAGGTGGCGGTCCGCTTTAATCTTGTCACAGAGGTAGTGCCGCAGCCGGGTCAGCACCTGGAGGTCCAAGGCAGCCATGAAGGAGAGGACAAGAACAAGGTGAGCATCTACACTTTTTCTCTTAAAGACTGGAGCAGGCGGTGACCCGGTCCGGTTCTGCTCTTTAAGGCTCCTGGTTTCACCTCTTTACCAAGTTACAGAAAAGTTCACTAAACCTCCAGTCTGCTGTTTCAGTGTTAAATCTTGAGGACTGACTGTGATGTGGTCACACTGAGGGTGTGGTGGGGAATTTCCTACTTTCACAGGCCTTTAACGCCAAACAAAGTACAAATATGTGATCAGTGAATCGCTCTATTTCCCTTTAGCACCTTATCACAAAACGGTTTTAAATCTACATGCCTGCTTTTGTCTGACGAATGATACTCACGTCTTTCTTTATCTCTGCCATTTCATCTTCAGTGAGGTGAGGAGCATCCATCCCTCTGAGCAGCAGAGTCAAATCCAGGCGTTCCGGGTGACGACTGAAGGCTCAGATCGGTTGATACGCGCGTAAAAGTGAAATAAACGGCACCGATGGATAAAGTTTACGCGTCAAAGTATGTCGCACCTCATAATCCGTCGTTAAAAACTACCGTATCCACTGTCCATTCAACTTTTGAGAACTGAAAAAAAAAAAAAAAAATCCCCGGACTTCCTGATTGTGCGTCGAGGTTTAAGTCGGTCGACGAGAGAAGAGAGAATTACGCGCAGCGGATTCGTCCTTTACGCTCCCTGCGGCCTCTCACGGCTGTCCGGGGACACTCGGTCTGAGTTCGAGCCCAAATCTCTGCCACGATATCAGGAAAAGGTCCAACCTGTCCGACTTTCCTCGCTTTGGCCGCCCCGGTGCCGGAGTTGTCGCTCTGCGCAGGTGGAGCGCTGTTCCCGTCCAGAACGCTGGGTGGCGCTGTTGCTCCTCACTGTTCCCGTTTCCACTCGGATATTTACATCTTTATTCTTTTTTTCAAAATGTTTTATGGTTAAACAAAATAGATTTACCTGTTGTGCAAATCACAGGAATCAGTTCAGTTCAGTTTAAATCAGTTCAACACTGACCTGGATGTCAGATTCATCAACAGTTAAATTAAATAAAAATAAAATAGAGAAAGTTTAGTAACAGAATTAAAACGAAAAAATACATTTATTTAGTGAAATGAGTAAAACGAAGTGTTAATACCAGGTTAGAAATAACAGATGGTGCAATTAAAATAAACAAACTTTTTTTTAATTGACTAAGAAAATTAAAGAAACAAAACACAACTTGTGATTTAGAATGAGTAAAATTACTAAGATGATAAGAACAACAAAAGAATGGCAAAAAAGAAGGAAAAAACGGCATAATGGTTGAATATCAGGAACAATACCGTCAGTATCAAATATTAAGGATCATATTAATCATATATACATATACATATACGAAATAGATTTTAAAAAATAGAAAATTGAGTAATAAAATGAAAAAGAAAAGAAATTATTAAATGGAACGAGGAGTCAAATATCAAGGATGATGTTGTAGACATACAGAAATAATAATAATTAAACTGAAAAAATGAGAAAATTGATTTGAGAAAAGAAAAAACAAATACTATTTATTAGGTGCAAAGAAGAAAATGACTAAAGAAATAAGAACGACCAAAAAAATGGCCAAAACAAAGCAGAAAACAGGAGCCACAACCTCTTGTGTCGTTCTTTCCCGATGGCCAGACTGTGAATACTAAGAACACTATGGTCCAGGTGTGTTCACATGAGAAGTCTGCACATCGGTCCATTTGTTCTGAGTTATCAGCCTGTTGCTGCTTTGGAAAGATTCAAAACCAAATTAGTTTAAAGACCCTCTGCTAAAAGAAAATCAAGCTTTTAAACTTGCTAACGTGTCCAAATGATGTTCTTTGTGAAATAAGCCGTCCTCACTGTGTTGAAACATCTCCACACTGAAACTACAGCGAACTAGATATGGTTCAGATTCAGACTTCCAGGGTTTCATATGTACCAAACTGAAGGAAGCAGTCCTGTGTGTTTGCAGGCAGAGCTTTCTGTATCCCTGTTCTTCTTCAGAACCAGTTCTGGTTTGAACATGTGTGACTGAATTACTCCAACATCATATAGAAATCTTGCCATTGTGTCGTGTGGAGCAGATTTGCAGAGTTTGATCAGAAACACAGGTGAGCTGGTGGACTTCATAGATCTGCACAACCTAGAAAAGCAGCTGAGCAGGATTACTGTCATGGAAAACAATAACTTTGAGACACAGAAATGAGTTTGTTGAGTTTTAATCATTGACAACACTGAGACTTGAACTATTTAATCTATAAACCAGTATTTTTGCTTGTTTTACATCCTGGTGTCGTGCATGAGTGGCAGCAAGTTACGGCACCACTTCTATCATTTCTTGTCCTTCCTTTTGACGCCTTATCTGCATCCAGCTGCTGTAACGTGTGAGGAATCAATAACGTTTATCGTATTTTTTTCAATGGACAAAATATTATTACTCATATATCTGTGGAGTCTGAAGGCCAGGACCAGCAGACTTATGGACACTTCATCCACCAGGCTGTCAGGAAGCTGAACTCTCTGGGCTGTCATGTTGTTTATGCATCATCTGTTTGAATTATTATGACTGGTGCTTCAACTAGTGAGAGGTATGTTCATGTTTTAGCTGGCCGAGGTTGAGCCGGTTTTGTATTTTATAAACTTTCCTGAGTTTGTCTTGTTTTTAAAATCTGCAAACTAGAAGCTGCAACGGTTGGAATCAATGTGTTTCCACCTCCGTCTGAATGTGGTGCAGCTGTGCCAGTGCATCATCATTAGTCAGCTCAGAGGACCCATGAGTCATAACAGGATACTGATTAGTGTCCCAGACTGTGAAGTTAACAGTTCTATGAATGAAGTTGACATGAAGTGTTAGGAAGGCAGCAGCAGCTACATGACTTGTGATAACTATTCACTGCTTTGCACAGAAAACAGACAACAAAGCATCAGAGTTCATAAATGCACAGAGAACAGAGAATATCGCTCCAGTAAACCTGGAATAAATCACAAACCGACTGAGCACGTGCATTCAGTACCTTCACCTCCCTCTAATCACGCTGCTAACGAGGACGGCTGCTCCCCGAGGAGATGGTTGTCGGGCTTGTTTCGTCATGTTCTGCGAAAACACACTGTTGCCCAGCAGAACGGTTTACTGACTGTGAACGAGGCCGCGGCCTTCTGCTGCTACCTTCAAGTGGTTTTTTTTGTAACGATAATGATTTGAAACGGAGGAGAAATAAAGGCTCCGGTTAGCGAGCGTCTGCTGCTGCATCTCAGCAGCTTCTGAAGGAAAAGTGTCGGTGAAAGATGCCCTTTAAATGTCAGGTGTTAAAAGGTCAGACTGTGTGTGGATGGCTGCCCTTACGCAACAAGGTTCTGTTAGAAGACCACAAAAAACTGACAACACATGCCCACTGGTTTTTCCAGAGAGGCTTTATGACAATTCACATCATTCAGAATGCAGCAGCCCGGAAAAGAAGCTCAGCCAGGTGTGAGCGTTTCAGAGGAAGTGTGTGAAGAACGAGACACAAAGGAAAGGAGGCGTTTATAGAAATGATGCAGCGAGCTGGACCTTCAGCTCCTACAGACGCTCCTGTCGGTGGTGCCGAGTGCGACCCGCCCGTCTCACTGCAGCACCGCTGGGAGGCATCTCTGCCTGTCCATCCTCTGAAGCCAGTCTGAACGCCACACAGCACTAGAACCCCAGATTTTGTCTGTTTTTCTCTCTTTCTGCTGAATATATGCAGCATCACTAAACTATCTGGTATGAAACCCACAGACAGTTCATTTGAGCCGGATGCTGCACCACAGTCTCCAGGATGTTTAATTACCTGCTGCTAATTAATTACCTGGATGTTTTCGTTCATACTGAACAAAGTAAAACATTTTATGGCCGTTACAGGAAATGTCTGGTCTCATGTTTGCTTTCTTTCTGATTCCTTTAAAGATGCAAGTGTGAAGCTTGTACAATAAACCTGCACAGTACAGTGGACTTTATGGGTAGTGTTGTCCTGATTTGTTTTTCTTATTTGTGCAAAATATGAGTCACATGACGCCTCAAACGTCCTCCTTTACGGGAGCACATACAGAGTTACAGAACGTTGATAACCGCTGTCATGATGCTCGTTATGTCTGACTGGGGTTTAGTCAAGCGAGCTCACATGAAGGGAACCAGCTACGTCAGACCTTCTATGTGGTGCAACTCTCGTGTCTCATGAGCTCTGTAAGTCTTCCATCTGCCCCGACCTCCTCTCCACCACAACAACAACAAAACAGCCTCCAAATGTGATCCAGTCACGGCACCTACTGGGAGAAACTATTTTGTCTTTCTGGGGCAGAACAGTGGCACAAATCAAATGTATGAAATGTTGAAGAGGAATCTGTTCAGAACGACTGAATCACCTCCAGCTGTGGTTGAACTTACAGGGTCTGAAGTTTGTTAGAGTTAATCGTCCACGCCGGGTTCAGCTTTGCTCAACGGTGTTGATTTGCTCCTCTGGCCAGAACAAGCTATCACAGCTTATTAGGCTTTTGTTTGAGAAGTAGATTGAAGTTGTCGATGATACGAATACATCAGCTGAACTCTGGTTTGTTTACTGACAGAACCGTTTCCCTCCATCATGAACTCTTTATATGATTTTGTCCTTTTAATCGTTTATCATGTGAATCCCAGCGTAGCTCATGCATCAGTCTTCTCATCCGTCTCTCAAAGTATAAGAGTGTTTCTGAAATGCCAAATATGACTTTGTTGGGTTTGATAACGAGCTGTAGTGCCCTTAATCACCGACTATCCCCCTGAGCTCTGACATTCAGAAACAGGAAACAACAACACGTCTTCTCACTCATATCAGACTTTACATGCTGCTCTGTGGGAACAGAACATGCGAAAAAGCCGTTCCAGGATCCTCCAGCTGCCCGTTTTATATCCTGTGTTCCTCTTACCTAACACGGTTCTGCAAATTCTTTATATTACAGCTTTGGAGGGGAAAGTTTCCACTCTAAAACCACAACAGTCAGCGATTTCCAGGCATCGGCGAACGCGCCGGGCTCATGCTTGTTCGCTCTCCGGCTGCTGGGCCTGGCGCCGAGTCAAGCCGGCCTTTGTAACCTCCGTTAGATAAGACGGAGGCCGTGCCAGCCGGCTCCGCTCTGCCTCTTGTTCTCACAGGTTATAATGAAAGGAAAGGCATCTCTCCCTGATAATTTTCATTGTTCTTTGATGTGGATGGAAGAGGATGCTTTTTTATCCTGGCAACTATTTCAAAGAAACCTGCAGTGTTCATCCTGAGAGGAATGTTGCTTTAGGCGTTGCTTAAGTTTTCTTTCTTCCCTTTTTCTGTGTGTGTTTCTCATTCTGGACGCTCTCAGTCTGACTGAACAAAGGATTCCTGAGGTTCAAACATTCCAGGAGGCTCTGCTCTGCTTTTTGAAATACTGATCCGAACTCTGATCCATCCACACCCTCGTAGGTGACCGATGGGAACCTCACCTCTGACTTTCAGCGCTGACGTAGTTAGAATACACAAACCCGGATCACAGGCAACGTGCAGCAGTCTAAACACGGCTTCAACCGAGATAGAAACGCACTTGGTCATAGAAGTATGTAGCTTCTCTTCAATATTTATGTCAGAACTTGTGGTGCCCCGATGTTGGACCCTGGAGGCGCTGCGCTCACATGCACGGGGCTGATGATGAAATATTTCAGGCTTCTTGTTGCCCTTTACATCAGCACACGCTGCATCTCCAGCAGGTAGAATCTCATTTAGATTAAGTTTTCCAGACTTGGCTGAGAATGAAGCAAAACAACATTAATAAAAACACCCAGAATAACGAATTCAACCAACACAAAGGAACCTAAACGGCATCCAGACAGAATGCAGGCAGGAATAGAAAAGCAATTAGTGTTGAACAAAAGAGTGGCGGGATAATTCAGAACGCATTTAGCAGTAAACAATGAAACCCGCTGCTGGTTCCACTCGATGGGAGGAAAGAAATGAAAATAAAGACTGACACGGTTAAAGTGGAGCGGCGGCGCTGGCAGAGCTGAGCTGAGCTGGGTGGTTCTTGGCGCTCAGAGCTAAATGGGAGGAGGAGGAGGAGGAGGACGGGGGACTTCTTATGGGCTTTATGGGAGGACGTGTGGAGAAACATTCCTCTCATAGTTTCGGGACACTTCTGCAGCCTGTGCATACGTCAGATCTGCCGGGAGTGAATAAAAGGAGATGGGGACTCCGACGGAGGGAGAGCAGGCGTCTGTTTGATCAGAAGGAGATTCTAGTCACTCAGGAAAGACGCAGCAGCTCCTGAAGATGTGGAAGGTCTTTGTCATGGTGCTCCTGTGTGCCACGCTGGTGAGGAACTCATCATTCATTCATTCATTCCACAGCTTTCAACAGTTACATAAGGAGAACTTTTGAAACAAGCCGTTGACCAGGGACTCGTGCTTTGCCTCGTCTCAGGTGTCGGCCTCGTGTCCAGAGGACTGCCGGTGTCCTCCAGAGGTCCCCAGATGTGCAGCCGGAGTCGGCCTCGTGCTCGGTGACTGTGGATGCTGCAGGGTTTGTGCACGGCAGCTCTTTGAGGACTGCAGCAAGACGCAGCCATGTGACACCGCAAAGGGCCTGGAGTGCAACTTTGGAGGCGGTTCAGCAAAGGGCATCTGTCGAGGTATGCTTCCTGTTCTCCTTTATGTTATTTCTTGTATATGTTTCATCTTTTTTCACACCAACTCTCCCCGTTGCTCTTCTGCAGCCAAATCAGACGGGAGAACTTGTGAGTACAACAGCAAGATCTACCAGAACGGAGAAACCTTCCGTCCAAACTGCAAACACCAGTGCACCTGCCTGGACGGCGCCGTCGGGTGCGTGTCGCTGTGTCCACGCGAGCTGTCGCTGCCCAAACTGGGCTGTGCCAAGCCGAGGCGGGTCAAAGTGCCGGGGCGGTGCTGCGAGCAACTTGTCTGCCCCGAGGGCACAAAGACAGACGGCTCCGGTGCAAAGAAGAACAGGAGAAAGAACAGCAAAGACAAAACATCTGAACACGACCTCCTTAGGAAGAACGAGTTGGCTCCTGTGTGGAGGGGAGATCCAGAACCTTCTCCTGGTGAGCAGTCGTCTCCAGTGACGCTGGTGGAGCTTTAAGATGGAGCCACATGCACAGAAACGTGACATGTGCTTTAGGGTTTTTCTTACATTTGAATAGCCGGTTGTTTTGTCTGTTAATTTTCCTCTTCTCTTCAACAGGAAGTCATCTAAGCGGCCCAACGACTACCAGAGGAGTCCAGTGTGTGTCCCAAACCACAGCTTGGTCACCGTGCTCCAAATCCTGCGGCGCCGGCATTTCCACCAGAGTGACCAACAGAAACGTCCGCTGCAAACTGGTGAAAGAAACTCGGATCTGTGAGGTCCGGCCCTGCAAACAGCTCACCTTGAAGGTACGACGCCCCGATGAACGTATGCATCCATTATTCCACTACGGGTCGGTCCATACGGTTGGTGTTAGATGAACTCTCCTTTTTGTTTGATCTCTTACAGAAAGGTCAGAAATGCAACCACGCGGTGAAGGCCAGCCACCCGGTCAAACTGTCCTACGCAGGCTGCCGTAGCCTGAAGAAGTTCCAGCCGAAGTACTGCGGCTCCTGCTCAGACGGGCGACGCTGCCGGCCGCACAGGACCCAGACGCTGCCGGTCCGATTCCAGTGCAGGAACGGAGACGGCTTCAGGAGGATGGTGATGATGGTCGAGTCCTGCAAGTGCAGCCTCGACTGCGAAAAGACGCTCGACCTCGACAGACTCTTCAACGACGTCCACAAACTGAAGATGTAGAGACTCGTCTGGAGGGAACGCTGCTGTTCAGGAATTCTGCTTCATAACATTGGAGCCTTTTTAGGTTTTGCTTCTTTGGGAAGCTGCTTTAGTTAAACCAAAACTTCACATCAACATATTTAAGCCTCTCTCCACAAATCCCGACAACATGGAAACGACATAAAAAAACCCAAACAAACTCTGGCAGCTAATGGATGCGTCTTTACGCAGCATGTCGCCATGTTCCTGTTGATTTACTGTACTTGTTGATTTTATTTATAAGGATTTATGTTTCATATATTGCTTAATGTATTGTTATATTTAATGTTAATGATGGAATATTGTACAGTTTATCATCTCTACACTTGCTTGTCTGTGCAAAAAAATAACCAGAACTTTGACTAAAGGCCGGTCACAAACGCTTCTGTATGCAAACTGGTCGACGAACTGCCTCTTTGTAAATGTTCATGATTCAATGTTTGTCTAATAAATAGAAAGAAAACTGAACAGCTTGCCAATGTGTGTTACTTAATGGAAAAAAGAACATATAGGCTTCACCGCTGGGATAATCATAAAAAAAAAAACTGGCTTGTGTAACAATGTTCAGTAGGAAATAAGCGATTCGGTTTCCTCAGCATCTGGCTGACCCACTTCTGACAGGACCTACATGTTGCTTAATACTTTAGGGAACGGCTATAACGTAAACCTCTGAGTGGTTTCCCTGCTGCTGGGCAGATGCTGCACAATTCTGTTTAATGAAGAAGCTATAGGCTTACAAAGATCATCTAAACTTTCCACAGACATTTACAGAACGAAAGACAAACCCCCGAATCCTGAAGTCGTTCAGCAGCAACGAGCTGCAAATCTGAAATATGACTTTATAACCAGGGCTGATTTTCCATCCAGCAGAGCGTACACACCCCTCAGCGAACCGTGAGAGAAAATGTTTGTTTGTTTTTGATAATTGCCTCTGCAGCGCCTTGAACGCAACACAAGTGGGTCATTCAGCTCATCGGAGCCTAATGAGCACGGATAAGTTCGGGGCGTGATCGTCACGGTGCTGAACTGTGATACCGACCAAACTGCCAAAAGTCAGAGGTCAGGTTTTCTTTTTCCCAGTAAACAGCAGAGAAAAGCGAATTCCCAAAGTGATCAACAGAGTTACGTAAGCGGGCAGGACCCAGAGAGCACGAGGAAAAACAGGGTTCTGACGCACGCACAGATGAAATGGTTCCATCCCCTGACGGAGAACACAATAGAGCTTTGTCTCTGAGAACCTGAGAGGAGCCCGGCTCACTCGAGGGAGTACGTCGGTTGCAGGAACACACAGTAGTTTATTGCCAGATACAGCAGCAGCGGTGGAAGGAGAACGTACAACCTCAGAGAGACGACCACGGCTCACGTGTGACCGGTGCTGCAGCAGATACCTGAGATCTTGTGTTTGGCCCTGAGCTGCAGGCAGATAAAACCTCCATCACAAAAGCATCACAGCCCGCCGGTAACGGTTTAAAGTGGTTGGGAAATATTCCAGTGTTTTATGTACCTCAGCAATTATATCTGCAACCTCAGGGCCTGAGCCTCCGACTGACAGCTGGAGAACTGATTCTCAGCTCAATTCATCTCAGTCCAGCTGAGAACCAGAACACATCACATCCATTATGCGCCACACCTTCTCTGTCATCGCTGCAGAAACAGATGCAGGTTTGTTTGAAGCGCGATAACAATAAAACGTCAGGAGGAGATTTATGTGGGTTTGAATGGGAGCAAAGTGGAGCGTATTTCACATTCAGCAGGTAAACAAGGCATCAGAGGCCTTCAAAGCAGGTTCGTCTTATCCAGGGGAACTTTGGGGTTTCTGGCTTCACTACACATAAAAACAGGCCAAGAGGTCTCATGAAGCTGGTTGTCTACGTCAACCCAGGGCTTCTGAATCTAGCTGGGTAGTGGTGCTGCTACCAGATCATTCAGAGCCACGTACAGGCATAAACCAATACAGTGAATTAAAATCTGTATTACAGGCTAAAAAGACGACGACTTAATAAACTGGTAAATCTCACTGCCTCCTGTGATCTGTAGGACTTTAATCATGTAAAAGTATTAAAATGTTGGTTTATGATTCAACTTTTTAATGTAAGACAAGATTTATCCTCATCCTCAGTAATCTCACGTTCACGGCGATCTTCCTGAAGCGTGTTGGACACTTTTAGCCTCATTGTTTCAGCTGCTTGGGGATGTTAAACAGATTTAGGAGCAAGGACGAAACAATTATTTTTAAAAAAAGCACATAAAACAACAATCTAAATGCTGACAGGCAGGTACAGGACTCTACTCTCATCCTGTCCTGTCACCATCTGAGCACCAGCTCCAGTGTTTTCTTATTTGTTTTCATTCACCCTGAGCTGATATTGGGAACATAAGGAGCCAGTGAGGCGTTCAGTAAAAGCACCATCACAGTCCTGAAAACCCAGAATTAAACCCAAAGGTACCTGGATAACCTTGAATCCTGCTTTATAGCTCAGACCTCAGCACCGGCACGATGTTTGGTGGCTAACAATCACCAGATGCACAAAGATCCACCAAACACATGATGCACTGTGGGCAAATCAAGACTTAAGGAGAACAGCAGCTTCCCCCAGTTGGATGGACGCCCCTTTAAAGACGTCTGAATTTAGTGGGAAATGCAAACCACATATTCACCGTGTTGTTTATGGGCTTGAACAGCGCATCTAACATGGTGCTATGACAAGCAGGTGTTTACACCGTATTTATGCTTCATACTGTTTGGTCTCACTGAACAAGTTCAAAAGTTGGAGTTTAGGCTCATCAGCAGTAATAAGTCCTGACTACTTGTGTTGTGGAGTTCACAGTCTCAAAAGCTCAGTGTAAACGTAGGTACGACCCCAAATCTAAAAAAAAAAAAAACTAACGCTAACTAACTTCGCTTCTCTGAAAAAGTTCCCATTCTAAGTTTTAAATTACTAAATATTAAAATAAATAAAAACAGACTGTGAACCGTCATCACTTTAGAAAATACGATGATCCGTAACCCGACGTCTGCAGTCCTTCGTCGAACATGGTCTTGTAAGAGTTTTTGAGGAAGTCCACGTAGTTCTGGATGCTCTGCTTGTGGCTCTCCGACTGGTCCAGGCTGAGCTGCAGGTCCTTCAGACGCACCTCGAAGCGTTTCTCCGCCTGCGGATCGAGACACGGGGACGGTTTTACCTCCACAACAACACGCCTCATGTTAGGAAAAGCTCGCTCTGGTCTGAACACACATGCTCTGGGTTATATTTTAGTAAAGGGTGATGCTCACGGTTTGCTTGCTCTGGCGAAGAAGCCTCAGCTCGGTTTCTCTTCTGCTGTTCTCGGCCTCCAGCTCCAGGACTTTTGTCTGAAGCGCCTCTTCTCTGGAAACAGCCTGGTCTTTGACCTTACTGACCTGGACACATGAGGAAGATGTGAAACGTTAGACAGACGGACAGACAGACAGGCAGACAGACAGACAGACAGACAGACAGACAGACAGACAGACAGACAGACAGACAGACAGACAGACAGACAGACAGACAGACAGACAGACAGATGTGGCAGCAAATCAAACAAACAAACAGAATTCCTGGATAACAATAATAATTATATTTCAGCATTAAAACCATCATTCTGGTTAAAGAGCTCCTACATGCTGGTGTATGAACCATGACAGAAACATGCTGTTAATTCATAAACCTGACACTGGGTGGAGGTCTGATACATTTCTTAAGCTCTGCACATCTGCACTGCAGTCAACTGATGACATTTTGTAGTAATCTTCTTGGCTGCCTCCCAGTACTTCCAGAAAGATAAGAAGCTTTCTCGTTGTTGTTTGGCGGTGACAGTGTGTGCATTTACACCTAAACTACACCTACAATCTGATTCCTTCCTACTTCGACACCAGCTGACGACTCCTGAGGCGTACCTGTTGTCTGACATCCGACAGCGCTGCCTCCAGCTGCCGGCTCAGGGCCTGACACTCTGACGAACGCTGGTCCAGCTGCCGGTTGCTGTAGCTGAGAGCCTCCTCCTGAGCCGCCAGCCTCCGCACAAGCTCCAGGTTCTCCTGCTGCAGCTTCTCCATCCTTCTACAAAGACGCAACAGGTTAGACAAGTTTAAATCTGTACAGAGAAGACAAACCTTTCATATTCAACATCTTACTTTTGGAGAGAGCTGATGTTTTCTTGCAGCTGTACGTTGGTCTCGTGAATGGACTCTTTCATCTCCACAGACGATCTCAGCATTTGGGTTTGACTATCCATCTGTACACGGAAGACGTAAAGTTATAAAATGCCTGCAGTGGCTTCACAAAACAGTGGATTCACATCACATGCAGACCTGATCAACACAGCAGCTAGTGCAATGCTTTCTCCCACAACACTGCAAACACAAACGGGCAGTTTTCAGGGTAAAACATTTCTGGTAGAAACACGTGGGCGACTGAAACGGACGGACACGGCACGGACAATCACAATCACGGCTAAACCGGTGCAGATGGTTACAAGCTACATGTTGCACTGCAGTCACATCTGTTCATCATCACAAACATCAAAACTCACAGCAGCACCAGAAAACGAGACGCACCAGCAGACACATGGGGTTGTACTACCGCCTAGTGGTCGATGTAGGAAAATGACTGCATTTGTACATCGTCTGACCACGACGGCTCGGGTTGCACACCTTAACCTGCAGTTGTCTAACGGACTCTGACTTCTCGGCGCACTTCCGCTCCGAGCGTTGCAGCTTCTCCTGGCACTCGAAGAGACTCTGCTCAGCTGCACTCAGTAGCTCAGGATAAGCCTTCAGCTGGTCCACACGGCCCTGCAGCTCCTGCCTCACCTGGGCTCCAGACGGGTCGGCACAAGGAGTGAGGTGTTGGGGATAGACACAGTGATGAGCAGAAGTCTTTAAGTGGGCAAAATATGCCATTTTCACGACCCAGACTGGGATTTTGCTGCCCAGAATTACTGTCGCTTTGCTGAAAGGCATGCAGGTTGAGGTGCAACGAATGCTATGTAGCTGCAAAACAAATGTACTGACGGGCCGTTCAGCAGCAGGAGAAGCAGCGCTGCACAGATAGATAACACTTGGCAAAAACTGCAACAGCACTGTTAGCATTTGTTGTTAAAAGAACAAAGGAAAGAGTTAAATTCATCAAGCGTTAGTCATTAAGATGTGTGCACATTAAAGTAAAATGTGGTACCTTCTCAACTTCTGTCTCTTTTCCATTTTGTGCCTTCTCTGTTTCTCTTACAAGGTTTGCATATTTTATCCTTAAATCATCAATCTCAGCTTGAAGCTCTGCAACCTAGAGGGGAAGAAAAATACAGAATATTATAATGAAAGCTGCTTTGTCCTTCCCTACAATCAGAAACTGCAAACTAGTTTCACTGCTGAATCATTAATTCAGCAGTTCAACATTCAGTGTTACGCACAAAGGACGAGACAGACTGCAGATAAAATCCGGATGATTACAATTCTCTTTGTACAGAGCTTTTCAAAACAGCTTTTCCAACTACTACAGGAAGTGATGCTTAACACAAAAGACAGAGTCACAAGAAACAACTGAAAACAGTGTTAGACGACAGTTTGTTGCATAAGAAGGAAAGACGAAGACGCTGCCTGGAAATCAAACTCCTGCAGGTTGTAGTTTGTTGGTAACACGTCCAAGTGTTCTCAGTTTATTCAGAAATTCTCCTAAAAGTTGTTTTGTGTGGCTCAAATGTCATTAATAGGTCTCATTTTTCTACATAATCTACAAATGTTTACAGACTGCAAGTCTACAAAAAGTGAAGGAAACAAGGAAATGTTCAGTAACCAACCTGATACTGGCACCGTTCAGCTTCATGTTTCTTCTCCTGAGAGACAATCTTCTCCTCCACGAGGGCCGACTCATAATCAGCAAGCTGCTGCTCCAACTGAGCAACGGAGGCCTGAAAGCACAGAGCAACGTACATCATGTTAGTGACAGAACTAATATCAGCGACAGAGTGTTCTGCCCAGTCCTAAAAACTATGGTGGTGTGTAAAAGTGTGTGGCTTCCAGCAACAATGACAATCGAGCAGAATTGCTTTGTGTTCAGCAGTAATCCTGTGAGTGCAAAATGACATCATTACAAGTTAGCAGCAGCGATCAGCAGCCTGCAGGATGACCATAGATCTTCACATTTCCTACTAAATGACTAAATCACCACAGGCAACACATTCATGCGAGTGTTTTAATGACCCTCACATGCAAGCTGTTTGCCATCTTGTACCTGGAGCGTTGCATTATTGACGCTGAGGTCTCCGTTGTCAGCGCTGAGTTTTTCAACCCGTTGCATCACAGTTTCATTCGCCGCAGTCAGCTCATCCCTCTGCTTCTGCAGCCTGGCTGTCAGGTCTGCAATTTGACTTTAATGGACGTAAACAAACAGCTCCTCTGTGAAAACTGTTAGTTGCCACACATGCATATGGATTTCTACTGTTTGATGTGTGCAGCAGAGAAACAACCAACCTCTCCAACAGCTCTACATGAGCAACAAGTTTGTCTTTCTCATCCGTCATCTGCTCCTTGTGCCGCCTCCTGGACTCTCTTTCTGAGTGGGCTTTGGCCAGCTGAGCGTCCTGTGTGTCAGACACAACAGTCAAAGCAAGATCCTGAAGCCAACTAGAGAAGACTCTACTTCCAAAACCCCAAACAAAAGTCATCTGGACTTCAGACCTTCTCCCTCAGCTGCGTGTAGCATTTCTCAATAGCTGCTTCAAATCTCTCGGCTCTCAGCTTCTGAGCTCGGGTGGCTTTCTTCAGAGAGTCCTTGTCCTGAGCTGCCTTCTCAGTCAGAGAGCTGATGGACGCTTTCAGGTCATCGATCTCCATCTTTTGCTCCGTCAGGGTTCTCTCCAAAGTCTGGAAAAACACCATGAAGTCACAAATGTAAAAATGTGCTTTTTGCACCTTTTCAAAGCAGTTTGTGTTCAGGTGTTGAGGTGTTTGTACCCGTAGCTGTACAGTCAGACGGTTGTTTTCTGCTTCCTTGTTGCGGAGCTGCCCCTGCAGGTGAGCACGAGTTTCCTCCACAGCCTTGGATGAGTGAACTGCACTTTTCATGTTCTCCTGTGGAAGATGTACGTGTTTTAAAATGCAGTCACTTTATTTATCAAGACATCTGCGTTGAAAGTCGTGCCGTCCTCACCTGCTCATCTCTCCGGAGATCCATCAGCTCCTTGGCTTTTCTCTCAGCTTCACTCAGATCGGTTTTTAAATGCTTGGGGAGAGACATGAGGATCGAAGCATGTTGGAGAATCATCACTTTAGAATTTCTCTAGAGTGTGATCTAGAGCATCTGTCTATTCTAACATCAGGACCGATGTGTCTGTGACATTCATTTGAGCAGCGTTTACCGACTGAATCATCCGAACCTGCCATAAAACAAACTCAGATCAACTGTCTTTCCTTTGTGCCTTTGCATCAAAGTAATAAACGCACCTCATTTTCACTTTCAGCCTGCGTGATCCTCTTCAGTAAGATGTCAATCTGTTGGTCTGCATCAATTCGATCAGCCTGTAGAAGGACAGAAGTCATAAAACAAGTTAAGAATATATTAAAAACTAATGTTCACATATTTCCAACAGTGTAAGTCTGAGTGTTGCATTTGCTGTCATGAACTTAAAGTAACTACAAATCTAGATGAATTCATCCATAACTGATCTAGCGTAGCAACCAACCTCTGCATCCTGGAGCTGTTTCAGTTTCTGTCGCACTGACTTATTTATTCTTCTGAAATCCTCCAACTTCTCCAGCAACAGCCCTCTCTGTCTTGCAACTCGGCGCTTATCTTTCGCAGGCTGTCTCCAATCCTTAATTGACAGAAAAAGCTGTTAAAATATTTGGCGGGGGAATGTGAAGCTTAATGACGTTTGCAAACCTACAGCAAATTCATCCTCCATGGCATCTTTAAAAGACACGAGCTGTATGGCTGCAGAGGTGGCAGCTGCTTCTGCATCCACCAGGATTTTCAGGAAAGGGCTCTTCCCGTCGGCTCCATGGCTGCATGAGAAACAGGAAAGCAAGAAATCGTTTCAACTGACCAGGCTGGATGTTCAAATGTCCATGCATCACAGGACCTCACCTGTGGATCTCAGACTCTGGGGTTCTTGTTGGGAGGCTGCTGCGCGCTCTGGTCCTTCTCCCCGGATCATGACTGCTGTCGAGATCACCACGACTCAGAGCGAGATCAGAGCTGAAACCAAGGGGGGGACTCTGGAGTTCATCCTCTGGAGACATGCCTCGTACTGCAGACACAACAACAGAGATATAGATAGATTATAGATAGATAGATAGATAGATAGATAGATAGATAGATAGATAGATAGATAGATAGATAGATAGATAGATAGATAGATAGATGCTTTATTATCATTGTACAAAATACAATCAAACTTGTGTGGCATCCCGCAGCAGTACAATACAAATAAACTCTTAAAAAATACAATTAATTTCAAAAGGATTAAAATGAGTTTATATGCATATTCAACACATAGTGCAAGTCAGAGTTCAAATAAAGAAGAGTACCAGAGTGTACACTAATGTGGTATTTAAACACACTGCTCACTCACTACAGGCAGGAAGCCAGTCGTTAAGACGCGACCTGAGCTCTCTGCATAGCAACAGAGCAGCTGAAGTGGCTGCTCAGCGTCACACTAAACACAGCAGGATTTAGTTAATTCCACCAAGCAGAGCCATAACGGCGTCTCCATTTTGATTCCTGGAGCTAAAACCCGGTAACAGCTTCATAAATAACGCCTCTGAACATGTAAACATGACTTACGCTCTCGCCTTGTGACCGCTCCGAGTAACGCCGCTCCAAACCGGAGAGCCTCCTCTTGAGGATTTGAACCGGATTGGTTGGCTTCGAGGCGACGTCACGACACCGACCTATTTACTCGCTGCTGATTTGCTCTCTGAGCGCAAAATAGGCGGGACTAAGTTTGATTACAGCGACGAGCAGCCAATGAGCGAAGGAGAGCAAAGCGATTGGTTGAAACCATAGAAACGAACAGGAAGTTTACTGCCACAACAACAACAATCCTCGGCTAATGCTAACGAACGAATATTATTTTGTGCATTTCATTGCGTGAAACTCAAAACCCAGCGTGTTGATGTGTTCTCCGCTAAGTGAGCGTCATTTACCAGCCTACTGACGTATAGATAGCTTTAAGCGGAGGTCTTTAGCCGAAGCTAGCCGGGCAGCTAATGCTCTGAGGGGAAATGTTCAAAACAAAAATACTCTTCGTTGGTCCAAATGAGGTAAGAACGTGTCCATGTCATGTTGTTAATATAGTTAATAGTCCTGACAGTGAGTTATTCATGTGAGCTAATGTGGCTCAGCACAGCATAAACAGAGAGCTGCTTTTAATCAGACGGAGGAAATAAGTAGAAGAAATATGTATACATACAGCTGTACCTGTACAGGTTCAGATTTAAAACACACGTGTTTCCATTTTATGCCACCACCAGTTTTTTTTTTTTTTTTTTTTAGTTTTCCATTAACTTCACTATAATAAATTTTTTTCGCAGCACATATTATAAAATACAAAAACATAAAACAGCTGCTGCCGTTTTATGTTTTTGTATTTAAGGCTGTTATTCTCCTCCCATGTCCTGCCCTCCCTCCAACCCCAAGGCCCAGATCTCACATATGTGATTGTACTATGTGTGGTCGGTCTAAGATTGCAAAAATGGCAGACATATGCTGTGATGAGGCAATTTTATTTTAAAAAAAACAAAACAAAAAAACCCCATTAAACATACAATTAATAAGAAAAAGAAGGAGAAGAAAAACATCCAACTTACTTCTACTTTGCTATTATTCATCTCTATTCAGTGGGACTTACAAGCTGTCATGATATTCTAAAATCGGGGTACAAAGAGTCTTTCAAGGTGTATTTTATTTTTCCAAGTTTTAGAAAATGCTTCGTGCCTCTAATGGGCTGCAAGGTGGCTCGGTGGTTAGCACCGTTGCCTCGCAGCTCGAAGGTCACCGGTTGGCGTACCGGTGAGGACACCCAGGATCTTCCTGTGTGGAGTCTCCATGTTCTCCCCGTGCAGCGTGGGTTCTCTCCGGGTTCTCCGGCTTCCTCCCACAGTCCAGAAACATGCTGAGGTTAATGGGTGATTGTAAATTGTCCGTAGGTGTGAATGTGAGTGTGCTTGGTTGTCTGTCTCTAAGTGTAGCCCTGTGATAGACTGGTTACCTGTCCAGGTGGACCTGCCTTCACCCTGAGTCAGCTGGGATAGACTCCAGCCCCCCATGACCCTGGCGAGGATGAAGGTGTAGAGATGATGGATGGATGGAACTCTGAGGTGTTTAGAAGAAGAAAATTACAGGTGGTCTCAGGTGTTCATGTGTTTTAGACATGCTGGAGGTTGGAATGACTGATTTGTTTGATCTGGCTTCATAGATAAATATAGCTAGGAGTCATCTGCATGGCACTGACAGCTTATACAGGGTTTCTTAATAATGATATTGCCTAAGGGGAGCGTGTACAAGGTGAATAGGATTAGCCCCAGCACAGAACCCTGTGAAACTCCACAACAACTCTGGTGTGTGTGAAGCCGCCGTCAGTAACATGAACAAACTGGAATTTATCCAACAATTATGATTTAAACCAGCCTCGTGTGGTTACTTTAATCTTAACAGAATGTTCCAGTCTCTGTGATAAAGTGTTGTGATCTGTTGTGTCAAACGGAGCACTGAGATCCAGAAAGACACGTATGGGCTTGAAATGAGTCCACTGAGGCTACAGGAAGGTCAACGGTGACTTTCACCAGTGCTCCCTAAATCCTGACTGAAACAATTAAAACATTTCTGTGCTGATGGTCATGACTGATTTGGCTAAAGGCTAAAGTTGCTAAAACAGCTGGATCACAAGCAGCCTGTTAATAAAGAGAGGTTGATCAGGTGTTCTTTAACGGTGAAACCTGTTGGTGAATAAATTACCTAAAAGTATTTAATCACTTTAAACTGACTTTACCTCAACCAGACGTGACATTAAATGCTGCTTACAAATTACAAAACAGCACTCATAATCTAATGTAATCTAATTTAATTATTAGATATAGTTTTTGAACTTCTTTTGACAGATTGAAACATCTGTAATCATAATAGTCGTGGATGCTACGGTTCTTTTTTGGGCATTCAAACAACTCATATCAGTGAACCAGTGCACACAAATGGCTGAACTCTGAAAGCATTTACTGAAGTTACATGTTCTGCAATTATGTTTAATTGCACAGAAAGGTCTCAACCACGATGTGACACTACTTTGCTAGTGAATGAATTGAATTTTACCGACACAAAGAGCTTTCTGACCTGTCACCAGAGGAGACGGCACAGGCTTAACTGACAGAATTAATACTGGCTGCATGTCGTTTGGGATTCCCAGTAAGCTGTGCCAGGATCAAACAATGAATAAAACATCCATTATTTATTATCGGCAACACCTTTGCCTTTCCTGTCACGACGAGTCAGTAACGGCCTGTTGTGAAAATTAGCAGTAATACGATTGTTAAAGATAAAAACTACTCACTCTATATCACACACTGGCCCTTTTCAGAGTATTTTATATCAGTGAACCAACAGACATTCGGTGTTGTGGGTTCCTCAGGCAATGCTTGATACTCCACAAATGCATATTTCATAAACACATCATACAACTAGTTTGCAAAACCTTTATTTGCACAGCGAACATTAACAACAACCGTCAGACGTGAGCGAACTGCAGCGGTTCCCTCACAAACAGGGTGGAGTTCATTGAAAGTGTAATGTTGCGAAATGTGGAAATGAAAAAGAAGAAGTCCATCAAAGCTGTAACTGATGTGTTTGTGTGAAGGTAATTTGCATCTGCGAGCTTGAGTGAACGTGTTGCCGTTGTGGCATTGTCACTGATGTCATGTTTCTGCTTTCAGAGTGGGAAAACGGTTCTTGCAAATTTTCTCTTTGACACGACGGAAAATGTGGGAGGTGAATACAGACCTACTCAAGGAGTCAGGTACAAACCCCGCTGACACACGATAGCACATTTTATAAACCTATTAAGGCCCTAAGTAGATGGAAATAACGCCGTGACAAAATACCCAGTGTCAGTTTACTGTAGAACCATTCATCCCAGTCTTTGCATGATTGTATACAAAACTAACATGTACTGTCTGCTGTTTGAAGAATACTGGAGTTTGAATCAGCGCCTGAGGGCAGTGGTGACAACAAGACATGTGAGGTTGAACTGTGGGACTGTTCGGGGGATTTCAAGTAAGATAAATATCATCAACACATTTTTCCCTCCGGTGATATTTGAGTAAAGTCGTCAAACGTCTGGATGCAGATTCAGTGTTTTCTCTCCGTGCAGGTTTGAGTCGTGCTGGCCTGCGCTCATGAAGGACTCCAGCGGCGTGGTCATCGTTTTTAATCCCGACGTTCCGAGTCACCTCAAAGAAATCGAGACGTGGCATTCAATGTTTATCTCCTCTCAAGGTCTGCAGGAGGCCCAGTGCCTCCTCATAGCTCACCACAAGCCTGGCAGCGGCGTGGAAGACGGACGGCTGCCTCTAGGTAATCTCACTGCAGGCCGGCCGCAGCTGTCCTCTGAGTTATTGCTGCTCTGGGTTAACATGTTCGCTCTCTTTGATGCAGCGTCACATTTGAGCAGACTGCCACTTATTCACTCCAACCTGGAAGATGAGCCGGAGGACGTGAGGCAGGCTTTCTGCAGATACTTGGGAAACGTTGTGAACACGATGTCGGAGAGTCGAGAACGGGAGGAGATGTCCATCATCACATAGCCATTACATATGCAGCTCAGTGACGATGTACTTTGTTGTTGTTGTTTTTTTTAAGTGATTAATTAAACATCTTCACTGTCAATCCTACAAACCCCACTGAGAACTTGAATATTTTCCTGCAGTTCGATAAGCTGTTCCTGTTTATTTTAGGTTGTGAATAAAATATGATTCACTCTGGAAATGAAAACCCAAGAGACACAAAAGCTGCTTATCTGATTATAGACATTTGTTTTTTTTGCAAATGTGGTGCAGGTTGTGGAGAATGAGATGAGCGCAAAACGAGAAAGAACAGTTCAGCGTTTATCCGATGATGCCTCCTTTGCTGATGCACGTGGAACCACATCAGCACCTCAGCGGCCACGAGTCCGTTCCTGAAGGCGTCCTACGAAACACAGACAGATTTCACTCCACAGAAAGAGACGTGATAGTTAACGTTTAAACAAAGTCTGACACAGAAGAGGAATTCATTCTTTTCAGTTCAATACAAATAAAAGTTTCTCTGTGTGTCATTTGTGTACTTTTGGAAAATAAACGCAGCCTAACTGGTGAGTAACAGAAAGGACGTGAGATTTATTTACTGATGACATAAATAATAGTGTGTTCATAAAGTTGTATTTTGTGCTGCACATTTAAACTGGTGACTGATTTAAACATTTACTGGTAGAAATCTTGGCATTAGGACTTTTTTATGTGATGGCTATAAGTGACGATTATTTCTAAAAATGACAAATTCTTACTATTGTTTAGTATTATAGACACTTTATTTGAAGTGACACAAATTGTTATAAAGAAAACAAACAACACAATTTGTCGGCCAACAGCTCCAAACCCAAAGAAACTGTTCAGTTATAATCCCATCAAACAGAACGTCATGAAGGTGAAGAAGCTAAAACCATAAAATCATTGATTTGTTCAGCAAATGTATCAAACTAAACTGAACACAAACAGAAACCAGCATGTAAATAATCGTATTTTCTGACTCAGAGAAAAAGCAAATGGTCGGTTTCAGACGGCAGCCTAAGTCACCACTTCCTGTTTAATAATAACAGTCAGGAGCAGAATGATTTTAACATGAAGACATCGTGGAAGGATGCTGAAACGTGGCACACCAGTAGATGATCCTTCCATCTCCTGCTGTCCTGAACTCCTAAAATCAGCCTACCTAGGATTCAAGACGTCCATCTGGCCGGTTAATTAATTACTTTTTTACCTGTGTTAATTGGCCATAACTCCCATTTCTACCAACATATGGAAGCTTTCTAAGCATCAGTGATGTCACTCAGGTGTTATTCTCATAACAACATTAATCAAATAGATCCCATGTATCAGAGAGATGTCTGACAATCCACTTTATTTGTGATTTTTGAACAAGTCCTGAATTTTGGAGGTCTTAAGCACAAAAATTAAGTCGTGGTTGTCAGATTTTGCTGCTTTCTCTCCGTTCACCAGAAACTTCTGAACATCTCATGAACATGTGGAGACTCCAGGACGTACAAAAGATACGGACGTCTGAAAGTGGCATTTTGTTCAGTTTCCAACTCACAAGAGATTTATTTTAAATTCCTACTGGGCAAAAAATAAAATAAAGAACATCCTTTATTAGTCAAACAAGGAGAAACTTAGCAGCAAAGTGACAGAAAGAATAGGAAGAAACACAACGATGAACTAAAGAGGCGAGATGTGTCGACTGAATATAAAGAAGAAAAACAGAAAAACACGAGGATGCTAAGAACACAACTTTAAGAAAATATGTACATGAATGAACTGTGAAAAGTCATTCTGGCTCTCAGCAACAACTGTCTGAGAGAAAAATGGACATTTTCCACGTTTGTGAAGAAAACCTGCTTCCGTGTTTGTTTTGACACCTGCGGGCCTCCGTACAATCTGCCACAACAACAACTAAACTGTTCAGAAGTTTCCCGCATTAGCTCACATTAGAATAAGCAAGAGGAATAAGATAAATAAATTAACCGACCGCCGACTAACGTTTCTACTTTAACAACGACTTTCTGAACAGCCTGAGCCGTAGTAAAGTCAACCCACGACACCGGAAGAAGAAGAAGAACTACTTCCGGGTCGTTGATTTAAAAGCGATCCTGTGTTTCTTGCAAATTAAAGTTCCTAAAAGTTAATAGAATGAATCAAAATTTATGTCACACATGAATCACATAATTTATTTGAATAATCACATAGTTTCAGTGTTAATATGGATATATTTTAATTAACTATTTAATGCAGTGCAGTAATCTGCTGTAATGTGGGATTCAGACGAGCACATTTCTATTTGCATGTGTAATAATTTGTACAATATCAGCAGTACTTTACACATTTCTCGTTAATTTTTTTTATTTTTCTTCCGATGTTCCCTTTTCTGCTGCACCACTGCAGTTTTCCCCACAGTGGGATTAATCTTTTTTCTTTTGTAAACCAGAAATTGAAAAACTATTTCAGGCGGCAGAACGAAGAAAACAATCAAACCAAACACAGGCTATTTGGATTTTTGAATTAGTTCAGAGCAAAATGAAGTCAAGCGGTCAATTATTATTATTTTTTGTTTGTTTCTAAATTAAAAACAACAAAACCAGTTCCAAAAAACCTGTTGTGGATTTTGTGGGGTGAAACTATCTCTCCAGTCAATTTAAAGCCTGAAAAATCCTCTTTCAGTCTAGTTACATATTCAGAAGCTGTTTTTTATTCCATGAAAATCCTCCCTTATGTAGCTCTATGCTAGTGCTTCTTTTAGGACACACAGATCTATGAAAATGTGAATGTGTTTTAAGTACTTTCAGGGTGGAAACGCTCAGTCATGGTGTTGACTCGTTATTTCCTTCATCGTACTTCCTCCACTTGGACGTACTGACAAGATAAAGAACTGGATTTCATGGCAGCAGACAATGACATGCTTCAGTTTGGGGTTTTTCAGTAAAAGGCTGAAAAATCACATCCATCATCTCTAAACCTTCATCCTCACCAGGGTCATGGGGGGCGGAGTCTATCCCAGCTGACTCAGGGTGAAGGCAGGTTCACCTGGACAGGTAACCAGTCTATCACAGGGCTACACTTAGAGACAGACAACCAAGCACACTCACATTCACACCTACGGACAATTTACAATCACCAATTAACCTCAGCATGTTTGTGGACTGTGGGAGGAAGCCGGAGAACCCGGAGAGAACCCACGCTGCACGGGGAGAACATGGAGACTCCACGCAGGAAGATCCCGGGTGTCCTCACCGGGACGCCAACCGGCGACCTTCTAGCTGTGAGGCGACGGTGCTAACCACTGAGCCCATGGTAAATAGTGTTCTTTTATATTACATGTTGTTGTTTTACACCCATCCTGGGTTCTTGAACAGTAAAACATCGTCAGGCTGAATATCAGATCAATTTACATTCTGTTAAGAAACAAAATGAGGTTCATGGATCATTTCTCACCCCGCTATCCATCTACTCACACCATCCTCTGCTTCAATTTGTCTAAAGTTTTGAGCCCTAATGACACCACAGGACGTGTATTTTAGTCAGCGTTTGATTTATTAATCCTGAAAAATTGGAGAAGATGATGTACCGGCGACCTTCTGGCGAACCCCGAGCCACCTTACAGCCCCTGAAAAATCACATGAATATTTCAGAATTAACTCACAAAGTGTTTAATTCCAGGACCTGTACTGGGGTGGATGAATTATGTCAACGTGAGAGAAAGAAAAACATCTTTTTATGTGTTCAGTAGCACATGTAGTGTTTTTTATATTCCAGGTATGACTAAATCATTCCTCTGACTCACGGTGCACACCACAAAAACAGCTGCAGTAATAACGTACGAACAGGAATAGAGCTCAGACCTGCAGCTCTCCAGTAAAACCTCACACCGTCTATTTCATTTAGCTTTAAAGATTTAGCTAATTTACTGTAAACCTGCAAGATACCTCGTACAAACAAGACGATGATGCGATTAATGTTTCCCGGAGTGGCGAGAACATCTCAAACCTGGATATAAGCAGATTTAAGATAGCCGTGAGCGCTGCAAAGTGATTTAAAAAGTTTATCAGTGACTTCCAAAGACTTCCTCACCACGTTTTCTGGACTGCGAGGCAGAAAGAAGAGTGAGAGAAGCTTAACTTTTTTAGCTTCAGGAGACGTAGAGTTGTACAGAACAGGAAAGTGAGCCGAGACCCTGGACTACATTATGTTCTGCAGAGGCTTGGTTGAGCAGTTTTTATGTGGTTGTCAGTGTTTTAAACAGATTGTGAAGCACACTGCGTATGCCTGAAACGCTTCAAACAAATTGCCTTGCTTTGCCTCATGGGGGCAGTCCTTCAGCTCCTTAGGCCATACATTAGATCATCATTACAAACTCGTATTTCACAGACCTACATGTTGTAACCCACAGAACTTGTTGGAGCTGAATTTAAGTTTCTAAAAATACCAGATACGTCAGCCTGAGTTACACCGAAATATCTTAAATAAAAAAAACTTTCAAAATGCATTCAGAACTTTTCATCTCAAGCAGCCGTGGGAATGTCACACCGGCTTTCTTTTAGTTCAGCTGTGAAAGCTGTTCAGAGCAGCTGTAGATGTGGTCGGACAGCGAGGACGAATGTTTCAGGTATTTCAGAACAAGTTTAGGTGAAGACTTAAAGTATTACACATCACGCCACGTCCCTCCCTCAGGCAGCAGTTTGACA